TAGACCTTTTCCAGAGAGGCGTTTTTTGATTTTAGCGAGATATAGCGAGAGAAAGAAGAAAAAACGTGGTTTTTTCGCGCGCGCGGGCGGTCGGACGCCACCAACCGAACAAAAAACCACGTTTTTTCTTCTTTCTCTCGCTATATCTCGCTAAAATCAAAAAACGCCTCTCTGGAAAAGGTCCATATCGATGGGAAATTTCCTGATCTTTCGATCTAGACTATTTAAAAAAATCTTAAAAATGAAGTTTTCGAGATAATCGACTTTAAAGTTTTCCCAGCGATTTTCCCGAATAAAGCGGAAAATTTCGGAAAATCTGACCTCACCATCGGAAAGCTGAGGCGATTTCCCATCGAAACCATGGGTTCGTTTTTTTCTCTAGGTGCATTTTAGTACTTTTACAGCGATTCACAAATTTAGTGATTTGGCTTAATTCGGCCGCGCCGCGCGGCACTGGGAGAGTTGACGTGAAATGCCACATATGCGCGCGGAGTATATATATATATAGGCAGCTACTAACATGTGCACAGGGAGGGACGCATTAGCATATCGAAAAGAGCATTCCGTCGTACGGCTACCGTGTGCGCACACGTATTATACACTGATGATGTTGGACTCATCTCATGGAAAGGAGTATAATGTTGATATAAAAAGTGCAGCGCGCGTCGCGTCGCGTGTTACCTTCTCTCACTCGCTCCGGCGGCGGCGGTAGCCACAGCAGCAGCCGTCACGATCAAGGATGCTATTTGCATAAGCGCGACCGCGGAACGAGACAAAAAATATATATGTGTGTGTGTGTATGTGTAGCTATACGAGTCAGAGCCTAGAGATATTCAGATGTCCAATGTGCTATATATGTATACAGCGCATGTTGCGCTTAACTTTTATGCCGAGTCCACACTTTGACGTCGCGAGGCACGTTATATGGCTTTTAAACGGGTCGAATCTCGCGCGCAAATAAATAAATCAGCCGCGCGATGAGCGCGAGCAGTCCAATGAAATTTTATCCTATATTTATGCCTTAATATGTGCTCTGCGTCGAGCGGAGCTGTCGATGCCAGACCGCACATAATATATATCTTACTTCCTTGCTCTCGCTCTGTGGCGAATTTCTTATGTATGATGATTTATCAGCTGCGAGCATATAATTATTTTTCCTTCATTATAACATTATATTATATCGGGCGAACGTCCACTCGATTACGGATCGCACTTGTATCTGGCGATATAATTTCGTTCAAATTTAGCGAATTTTCTCGCGTTTACAATAGTCGTCCCTTAATGCACAACTATGTATTCGATGCTTAATTAGTCGGTGGCTTCGCTTACGCTCTTATCTCTTTTGGTCTAACGCGCGCGCAAGCAAAAAGAGAAAAAAAAGCACGTGGAGAAGAGAGCGAGGCCAGACAGAACGAATAGCGGACGAAAAAATAATAGGCGCGCACTGATCGAACTCGAGCTTTGGTGTCCCTCTATACCTGTTTAGGTGCGGATATCCCTCACATCCCCATGCACACATACGCTTAGTTTTACACGTGTGGGAAAGTCATGGCGCGCGAGCGCGGAAAATCTAGACTCCGCACGTTTCAGTATGTGTGTATGTGTGCAATACACAAGCAAATCTCGGGGGTTGCTTGCACTCCGGCCGTGTACGTGTGTATATGTGTGTGTGTGTGTGTGTGTTGGCCCGAGTATTGGTTCGGAGAAAAGGGCTCTTATCAGCTCTTTCGCGGATATGTTAATGGTGGCCGTATTGCGGAGCTGCTTCCATGCATCGTACAGACGCTGCTGCTGCTTATGCGCTGCTCTTCTCCTCGCGTCCCTCCCTTCCCTCCGACATATGTATATATACCGTCTCTCTCTCTACTCTCCTGCCCGGCTCAGCTCGAGAAATATATTGCACCCTATCGATGTTAGCGCTTACGTTTGTACATACGCACACACATACACATACACACACACACACAGAGCGGTTGTGCAGCAGGAGAAACTCTTAACTCGACTCGAGCTACTGCTGCTACTTTCACTGTTACTACTACTAGACTATCAGCCGCGCGGGGGTTGGGATTGCTTCGAGCTTTACTGCCTTCGCGTGTACAACTTATACTCTCGCAATCGCTCTCTCTCTCTCTCTCTCCCTCTCGACATAGGTATACGTATGCGAAGGCTCGATCCTCGATTAAAAGTACTTTCGAGCTTGTTCGGGGGCGATTTTTCACTTTGATTTCGCACTTGTCGCCCGCGCGCTCCTTTTTTTTCTCTCTCTCTCGCTCTCTTTAGCAGCGATACATCCTAACAGCTGTATATTACGACGTTATATACTGCTCCTTCCTTATGCAATTTAACATCTAGTTTCGAGGCAATTCTAGAGCACGACATCGAGTGCGTAGCACCAACTGAGCGATTTTTGAGCTTAATTTCATAAAAAAAGAAATAGGAAATCGATGGCTAAAAGAGTCGTCGATTGAAAATTTAACCCTAGAAGTCGTTAATGTTGTATCTATACGCAAATGACGGGATTACGTACACACCGTACGGTGTTTCATACGAAGGAGCTCGTGCGACGATAGCGAGCAGTCAGCGAGGTATATATAATAGGGAAAGAGAGGAGCTGCGCGCAGCTTGCGTGCCGCTGCAATTACAAGAGAAATCGGAGGCTCGAGTGTTAAGCTGGGGCCTGCACATACTCGCTTATACCGCGCAGCGATATGCCCGCTCGCGATGACTGCTTATTCAACGTCTCTCAGGAGGCCAGCGAGAGAAAGAGAGAGAGAGAGAGAGAGAACACAGACCCTTTTGCTGGTTATACGAAGAGAGAGAGAGAGAGATACATACGCGCGTGGTGTTGTGCGCTCGTCGAGATGAGCGATAATGTGGGCTAGGAAGAAACAGCAGCAGCAGCAGCAGCAATAGAACGAAGAAGAAGAAGAAGTCAACGATGTGGATGAGGACGAGGATGCACTCGCCGTGTGTATATGTGTATACACAGACATGACTCTATCAGCCGGACGCATCTTTGTTCTTGTGATTTCAAAGCTAGGCAATTAAAACATCCTGCTGCTATATATACGTACATATATATACAGCTTTTATATACAGCTATGCACTTGTAGCATTAAAAAGGCTAACTCCCCCAACAACAACTGTCCACGCGCGTGGCGTCTCCTGGCAAGCATCGATATTCCGCGTAGTAGATATTTCGCACCTTCGCTCGCGCAAGGGACTCGCTCGATTAAATAATATATTATATATAAGGGAGCTGTGCTTTTGTGCACTACCACTGCAGTCGCACGATCCCGTGCACTCCAAAAACAAAAAATCGAGCGATGTTCGTATTATTATGTTGTATATTTAATACGGATGCACGACTACCGTGCGATTTTTGCGATGCACGTCTACCGTGCTCCCCGCTCCTGGAACGACGAGTAATCAGAGTCAGAGATGTTAATGCTCTTCTCTCGTTTCTAGTCAAAAATTAATGATAACTTATCGCGTTAATTTTCTGAGTTTTTTCCCGAAGCTCGACCAGCAAAATTCGCGACGTTGATATGCGCGAGTTCCAAATATACATATTATATGTATTATAAGTTTTGTAATGGGAGATGGGATCCGACGAGGTCGATTCTCTTATATGCGCGCGCTCCTGCCTTTGATTCGCAATGTCACTCAGCTCTCGGGCTCGGCTGCGTGATTCGATGCGTGCGTGCGTGTGTGTGTGTGTGTGCGTGTGCCGCGATTACAATCTATACAAGCCTTCGCGCTTCGTGGACTTCTTCCGTTTTAGATTAAATTTCCTCCCTGTCGTGTGTATATATACGCTGTGTATCGAAATGGAATTTCTCGTCTCTGGCTCGGGTTTAACCTTCGGCGCGCTCTTCTTTTTTTTTGCTTCTTGCTTTTTGCGTCTCGAGATCATCTACTTCTTCTTCTTCTTTTTCTTTCTTTGATTATTGCACGACGCACGCAGCGCTCGATTTCGTTCGATCATCACGCGCAAACGCGAACTGCGCGATCGAGATGATTCAAAGTCTTGGTATCGTTTATTCGGTTAATAAGTATATCTCGTTCGAATAGCGAAGATCAAAACAGTTTCCATGAAATGCATCACACGCGTTGACGCCAGAGCTCGCACGCACCCTATCAAATAATATTATACAGATCCAGTACCGATAAGCGCGCGCGTTTCGCGACTTTCGGCATATATAGGGAAGAAAAAAGTCGACGCGCGAGCTGCGGAGTCAAGCTTCAGTGAGAATGATCGACAAGGTCTCTCTTTCTCTCGCAAGCTTTTATATATTATTATACATATATAGCGCGTGGGTGTGCTGCTGCTGCTGCTGTTGCTGCTTGGCAAAAAGCAAAAAGTCGATGAGTACGTCCCGATAAAAAGGAGCGTGTTAGGGGACGATAGCGAGAGAGCAGCTTCACTTACACACGTACTACGTGGTAGTGGTACGTGCTGCGGTTCGATGCGCGATCTCCTGTACGTACGTGTGTGTGTGTGTCTGTATATTCGCGTTTATATACATTATCTGCAGCACAGACGAAAGAACAGATAAGACATCGGTTGCTTTTCTCTCTATGTATATGGCTGACTCTCTCTCTCACGCGCGCGCGTCTATTGGCGCTAGGCTCTCTATACATGCACACACAGCCCATGAGATAAGAGTTAACTCACGCACTCAGCTTTCGTTCGGCAGGCTTCGATATATATATGTGTATACTGAGCGCACATATATATATATACATACGCGTGGTGATATGGAACGACGATAGAGGGGAGAGATCAGGGTATTCAGCGTTCGCACGAGAGCAGAAGAGAAGTAGAAGAAGGAGAAAGAGGGGGAGAATTGCCGGCAACGGACTAGGAGTAGCGCTATACACTGTAGAACGTGTGTTTGTGTGCATGTGCCTGACTGTCTGTGTGTTTGTGTATGTGTGTGCGGCGGTGCTTTGCTTACGCGCAAACTGCGGAGCACAGCATTAGGGACGCGGACGCGCTCCCGTTCTCGTCTCGTCGCGTCTACGCGTTTCGTATAACCGTATACTTTTTCGTAAAAAAAAAGAAGAAAAAAACAACTATACTAGTCACTTTTTTTCCTTCGCGATAGTTTCGTAATTGAGTGGGTGTGTGTGTGTGTGGATATGTCAGCATTGTGCTTCGAAGCCAGTGATGAATATGGTGCTTATGCAGTCCAGCCTCAGGATTTCCCAGCTCAAATGTACCGGTTCGTAACTGACTCGTTTTGAATTGTTTTTTTAAACCTACAGTTGACATCTTTTTGACTCGAAATATATCAATTGTTTCGATTCGATGCTCCGATTGCGAGAGCTTTTTTTTTGTAATGTACAATTGGTTTATTTTTTCGTGACATTTTTAAATCAAATGGAGAAAAAGCACGTTCAGTGAGTTTTTTTCTGCCAAACGTAAAACTTTATGCAAGATACCGTGTGCTGCGAAATATCAATCGGGAAAAACAGAATAACGCAACGAACGCAGGTAGTAAAAGATCCGTATAGATTTAAATTTAGCGGTAGCTACTTTCAAAAACCGCAAGGAATTCACAAAGGAGACACGAAACACGTGGATTTCTTGAAAAAAAAAATAATAGCAACAACGACGATCAAAGTGCACGATCCAGAGAGATTCTAATTAAAGAGATTTGTATCTCTCGACTTCCATAAACTGACTGACAGTGCGGCTACTGGTCAGTCGACGTTATTACTATTAAATATAACACACACAAGCGCACACCTATAAACACGCGTCGATAAATATTTTTTTTTTCCTATAAAAAAAAAAAAAACGTCAGAAGAAAAGAGAAGGAGCGCGCGCGCTTATATTATTCAACGCAAGCGATAACGATCTTCGAAGTATAATCTTACGTGCAGCCATCTGTTGGCGTTCGAGTGGTGCCCGCGTGCGAATACGTATGTACGAAACTTGAAAATTTAAGATTTATCGCGATTCAATGTCAACCTCTTGTCGGTTTTTCATATATAAATCGATCAACGTTTCTCTCCTCCCGAAGGAGATTCGTGCAGTATTTTTTTTTTTTTAATCCTCTTATAAAATCGCTCCGAAGTGTATGTACATTATTCACCTGCCTCGAGCTCTGCTACATAGTATACGATTATTATTAGTATATTTATTTAATCATTAACTAATCTATTTTTTTCTTTCTCTCTCTCTCTCTCTCTCGCAGGAGACGATGAAGAGTGGAGCGACTCGGAAAAAGCGCCGTCCGTGAGCAGCGGTGGCGGCTGCGGCGGCCGGGACGGTGCCGATTGCTCGGGGCCCCCGAGCCCGGCGGCCAGTCAGCTGCACGACGACGACGACAACTTCGCGATCACACTGCCACCGCCGCCTAGACTCAATCGTGCCTCGGCACAGGAGGTGGTCGTCCAGGCGAGCGAGGACAGCATCGGCAGCAGGCTCAGGCTCAACACGCTGAGCGACGATGCCAGAAAACGACTCGCCAGCATGGCGGAGGATTACGAGGTTGGACGCAGTCTCTCTTTATTCGTCATTTTTATAATTATGATTATTGTTGCTATCTTTACGGACGATTTTCGTGACGCGACTGCAGCGAAATTTGTCTTTCGTAATTCGTCGATCGGGTTTTTTTTATGTATTATCGGTTAAAGGAATCATCATCGTACGTGCGTATAATATTTCTGAGCTTTTCGACGAATTATCACGTCTTCGTATATACATTACATTACATATATAGCGCAACGCTCGAGCTTCGACTTACGTACATGAAAGATGTAATCTAACGCCGACATAATTAATCATGACTTAACTCGTTAAAGCATAAATTTATCGCGTAGATTGTCAGCGCGAGCCATCGCTTATCTCGCGGGAGCATATTATAATTATCGTTTTCACAAAACACGCGGATAAATGTTATTAATATTCTTAACCGTATCGTCGTCCTCCGCAGCACCACCTCCACCAGCATCATCATCATCATCATCATCATCATCGCGAACAGCAGCGGCGGCCATCGCGACCGAACTCGGTGCAAGACTCGAGCCCGAAGTCGGCGACGCATCGGCAACAAATGGAGCAAGACGACGACTGCGGCGTCAGTTTGGTGATGCGCGAGGAGGAGCGAGCCTCGTCGAACTCGTCGTCGAATTGCTCGGCCAGCGGCGGCATCGGCGGCCCCACCACCAACAGCAACAGCAACGCGAACGCCAACAATAGCAACAGTAGCACCGTGCTAAACAATAACGGCCGGCGGGCCCTGCGACGGAGCGGCTCCGACGACTCGAGCTCGGACGTGCAGCTGGTGAGCGAGTCCAAGAGACCGAGGCAGCAGCAGCAGCAGCTGCGCGAGGATGACTCGCCACCGTCGTCGGCTGGTAGTGGCGTGACGGCGGCGGCGTCGACGACGACGGCTGCGACCGGCACACCGAGGCTCAGGCTCAACGCCAGCCTCGCCACGGATCCGGCACTGAGATCGAGATCGTCTACCGATCGGCAGACGATGATGAGGCCAGACGAGGAATCGTCGTCGCCGCCGGGAAGCGTCTCGCAGGTCTCCCTGCCGAGTGGATTGCAAAATGGTAAGTTCTTCATCCGATGATCTTTCCGATCTAATCATTTTTTTACGTTCGAGAACCCGTTGAATGTATTTTTTGTTTGCGATGTTTGATTAATTAGCTACTCGAGATCGACGATAATAATCGATAACGAATTCGAGTACGCGGAGATAGTATCGGATACTTCGAAAAAAAAAAAAAATTATTAGATTAAGAACATCCGCTCGCTCCGTGATGCGAGATAAAAAAAAAGTTCGACTCTGATACACGCAATCGGTTTATTTTGGTCTCTTTCCTAATTATCATTCAATCTGGGTTTGTGTAACAATTAGTATACGAACGATTATAAAAAAAAAAAAAGAAAAAAACAATAATCATACGCTTTTTCCAGCGATAGCAACCGGACGTTTGCTCATGCTGCCGAACGACGGCTCGGCCCAGGCGCAGTCCGCCAAGGACATAATCGGGGTCGGCGGCGGTCTCGTCGATCCGGCCGCGGCCATGGCCCAGGCGATGGCGGTGGCCGCCGCCGCCGCTGCGGGCATCAACCGACCGACCGTGCTCTACTGCGCGCCCTGCAGCATCAGATTCAGCTCGGCGAGCACGCTCGAGGCCCACAAGAAGTACTACTGCTCGCACAGGCCCCGGCTCGAGAGCGACGCCGAGAACAACGACGACGACGAGGACGGGGGAGGCGGCGGCGGCGGCGCCAACAAAGGTCCCGGGGGACACAACAGTTCCGGGCCCGGCGGTGGCGGCCACAAATTCGACGGGCCGCGCAAGGCCTACGGCTGTCCGCACTGCTCCTACAGCGCCGACAAAAAAGTCTCGCTGAATCGCCACATGCGCATGCACGCCTCGTCGCCGGTGCAACAGCAGCAGCAGCAACCCAGCCCCGTCGTAGCACCGCCAGCACCGCCGTCTGCGTCGGCCATCGCCATAGCCGGCCAACAGTCGGCCGCGTCTGGCGTGACGGTACAGCACGGCGGCGTCGTCACCGTCAACGGCACCCTCAACGAGGAGTCCGAGCGCTACTGCCGCAACTGCGATATCAAGTCCGTATACTCGCGTGCGTTCTGCAACTCGATGCAAAGGTCCATTTCTCAAACTTCCCTTTTTTGTTTCGTGGTGCAGGTTCAGCTCTCTGAAGACGTATCGGGCGCACAAGACGCACTACTGCAGCACGCGGCACGTGGTGAAGGACTCGACCCCGACGCCAGCGGGTCTGCCCTCGGCCAAGGGATCGTCGCCGCCGAGCCGCGCCAGTCCGGGCGACTCGCCCCCGCCCCAGCCCTGCCTGGCGCTGCCCACCAATCCGATCCTCATCGTGCCCGTGGCTCTGGTGCAGAGCGCGTCGCTCCTCGCCGCGCCCGGACTGCCGGCCGCCGACACGCCCTGCTTCCTCATGCCGAACGGCACCCTGCAGCCGATGACGCGCAGCCTCGGCATGCAGCTGCCGATGGAGGCCGCGGCCCCGCCCATGGTCGCGCCGCCGAGCGTGCTGCGCGCCGTCAACAAGTCCGCCGGCGCCAGTCATCCCGGTGGCGGTGGTCATCATCATCATCATCATCACGGTGGTGGTGGCTCGGTGGCGGCGCCCAGCGGCCTCGTGCAGGCACCGAGCGCGGTCAACTCGCCCAACAACGCGTCGTCGCTGTCCGCCTCGACGCCGCTCGACCTCAGCGTCAGGAGATCACCGGTAAGATCGACGTGCAATCAAACACCGCGTTTGATGAATGATTTTTTTGTTTATTTTATTGCATAATTAAGTTACGCAATTTTTGGCGATCTATACGTTATCACTAACCTGCGTACATACATAACTTTTTAGTTAATACCTTAAATCCATTTGTAAATTGAGGCAATGTGAGACGAAACCGCGTTATTGACTTACAATTAGCTGAAATCTATTTATGAAAAACATTCTTATGTGACAGAACGGAAAATGTTGTTTGTGATTTTGTTTAGTATTACAAAGAGCTTTCAGCGACAAGCTGTTTTTATAGACATTTTTATAACTCACTATGTATGCAATTAGTCAATAGGCAGTAGGTATTTATCTATACAGGAATAATTCATAATAAGAATGAATGAAAAATATTGCTTCCTACTCATACTTAATCGATGTCATTTTTAACGTATGATCGGACGTTTACAGGACCACGAGAAGGAGAATCGAATATCCCCGCTGGCCTGCTCGTTGCCACCGATGCCGGGCAGTCCACGTTCGCGCGGTAGTGCGAGCCCGCGAACGAGATCTCTGCCTGCCGCGCAAATGCCTGCGGAGCGGATAGCGGCGCCAACGCCGCCGACCGAGCTGGCTCTGCGACTGAACGAGTTGCCGCCGCCACCGGTGCCCAGTGTCCTGGTCAAGCAGGGAGTCTCCAAGTACGTATAATGGATACTTCCATGAATGTGATTTTTACACCTCATTCGCGAGAGTAGTACAACATTAACTATCTTTCTTTATTTTTTCATCCGCAGATGTAAAGAGTGCAACATTGTATTCTGTAAACACGAGAACTTCGTGGCGCATAAAAAGCATTACTGTCAAGCTCGCGAGAGCGGCGGTGCCGCTGGCGGTAACACGAGCCCACCACCGGCGGGCACACCCTCGCCGCCCCTCGTGCAGCTGATCTGCGCCGCGTGCGGCATCAAGTTCGCTTCCATGGACAATCTCGTGGCTCATCAGGCATTTTATTGTCGCAAGAGGCCCGAATCTCAGGACCATCACACGCCCTGCCCCAAGTGCAAGGTACGTAATCGTTGTTTAAACCGTGTTTAATTTTGATGACACGAGCCCGAGAACCGATCGTATAATTACGCTTTTCAATGAATCGAACAGGTGATGGTAGAAGCAGGCGCATCGCATACCTGCGCGACGGGGCAGACTGGAAACTGGCCGTGTCTCGTTTGCGGCGCAATCAGTCCGACCGCGGCGGCTGCTCAGCGGCACATGGACGGTCATCAGGGCATTAAAGCGTTTCGTTGCAAAATTTGCTCCTACAAGGGCAACACTCTGCGCGGTATGAGGACGCACATAAGGATGCACTTTGAAAAGCGCGGAGCAGATTTAAAGGTACGAAATGGTTTATCCTGTCGAACGAACGTTTTGAAACATGTTAATAACCGAGTTCGTGTCGTTTTTGCAGGAGGAGAAATACATTACGTACGTACTGGAGGATGATGTAGCCATTCCCACCCAACCGGAGCCAGTATTGGTTGCGACACCCGAGGAGGTTTCTGCGGACGCCCAGCAGCAACAGCAGCAGCTCAACGGCAAGAGCAGCGAGCCCGGTGTCATTCGCAAGAGTCCCCTGCCGATCACGACGGCCAGTAATAATTCCCCGGCGACGTCGCCAACGGTATCGCCAGCGCCAGGAAAGATCAAGCAGGAGCGCGAGGAGACTCCACCGCTGCCGCCGCCGTCCCCGGCCGAGGAGAGCCTCGATGTGACGAAGAGCGGTCCTCGCTACTGCCGCTCGTGCGACATAAGCTTCACCTACTTGAGCACCTTCATCGCCCACAAGAAGTTCTACTGCTCCAGTCACGCCGGCGAGGCTAGCAACAATAACAACAACAACAATAACAATGCCTCCGCTGGCGCCGCCGCCACCTCGACCGTGGTGGCCGCCGCGCGTGCGACGACCTCGCCGAGCGCACGCACCGAAGCTTCCGTACTGTAAATTGGCTTCGACGAAAAAAAATGTATGCCAATTATCGAACCAATCTCATGCGTGGCCAATGAAAAATTGATTTTTTTTTCCTTCATACAAAACGAGTCGTGTAAATGAATAATCGTGTAAGTTGGGTAGACAATATTTAGATAGATGGACGCGCGTGGCTTTTTTGCTGCTAAATTTGTTTTAATATTTCACGATAACTTTGTCCTTGACTTGGTTAGTAGACTCAATATCTCAATGAGAAGAAAATATCGCGACGATAACGTTCGTGTTGAAAATGTTTTTTTTTCTAAGAGTCGATTTTTCTTCTTGACCAGCAATATATAGTCATAAAATTTGTGAAATGTGATCTTAGAAAATGCTCAAGTAAATAATTTTTCAAAATTTTGAACAAATTATGTTTAAAAATTAATTAACGTTTATCTTGCAACTTTGTTATCATTACCACCTATCTCTCTTTTTTTTAATTCTCTTTAATTTGAATGAAAAAATTCGCGATTAAGTCAATAATTTCAAGCTCCATTTTGCATACTATATAAACGGAATATTTTGGAAAAATTGTAAATCGAATTTCATTATTGAATGTTTGTTTGGTCAGTACTTAACCCTTAAAGCTTTTTTATTCGTCTTTTAGGGTTATAAATATTGTTATTTGTTGAAATTAAAATAAATGAATATATTTGAATTTTATTTAAAATGGCTTATATGGTATGCAAAGTCTTACTCAGTTAAAATTATTATTATGTAGCATTGTTCGACTGTTACTTGTTGCCAGTTTATAATTAACGAAACATTTTAATTTTAGAGTATATTAAGTGTGATGTTTGGTTTGTTTAAGGAATTGTTCTATTGTGTAAAATTAAACAATAACATGCTGTAAATATCAACATAGGTTAAATAAAACAAATCAGTTAACGATTATCCGTTTGCCAAGTGACATACTATGTAAGTTTGAAATATATTGTTATATCGAGATCTTTGTACATAAAACTAATTAAGAAGAACTGACTGATAAAAATGAAGTTTTAAAACAGTTAAAATCCAGCATAGTACGTGAGTTGTTATTAAATTGTATTCTAAATGACTTTTTTCATAATCGTCATTCTTAAGTAAGTAAGATTGATGAATTTGTTTTAAAACATTTTTTGTACATATGATGTGTGATCTTTTTTTAAAAGTAATCGAGTTTGCTTGAATTTGTCTAGAAATTATTTATACCGATATTTCGTAATTTTTTACTCATAAATAATTTAATTTTAGTTTTTGATTCAGATCATATGAATACAGTACATGAGAACATTAAATTTATGTATTGTGATAATTAATTTTTTTTCTTTAACTTTGAATGAAATTCCAATTTTAAATTCAGTAAAAAACGCAAAATGTGCAATCTCACTATCTTTGAATTAATCTTTAGACAAATAAAAATAATTTTATATAATAAATGTTAAAAAAATTCAATGTAAAATGCTGTACAGTAGATAATTAAAGTAATAAAAATTTTAGATTATTAATTATAAACAGTACCAATCTCAATTAGTGAATCTGTTAATGCAATAAAACATATTACATTATTATATAAAAGATTTGTGTCAAGTGTTTTTGGCCATCTTTAAAGAAGTTTTTTTGTTTTTAAATTTTTTTTTTAGTTTAAGAACATAAATTATAAATATTGAATGATGTATTGTGTAATTTATCTTCACTTGAATTTTGAAGAAAAAAAAGATACTTGAATGCATACAACATGGCTTAAAACGACTGACATCAAACACTTCAAAATATGATTTTAACGTGATGAAAATTAACGTCTTTTTATACAAGAACATGTACTATTTTGTGCAAAAGAAAAAAGAATTCGTTACACTCTTATCCATATTCAATAAGAATTTTTTTCTGAATCTCATGTAAGAATAATACGCACAAACAAGCCATATAATTTGAAAATGTATCTTCATTTTATCGAAGAGCAAAATTTACAAAATTGGTAAAAATAAGGTATAAAGGCCAGTGTCAAGTGTTTGTGCAAAGTACTATTCATATCATCAAAAATAAAATGTATCAATTTTGTCTGCGTGAAGTATGGAAATGTCCTCATTTATTTACAATCTGAAAATTACTGATAGCGCATTGAACATGTCGATAAAACTTGGTATAATTAAAAGGAGAAAAGAAATGAAGCAAATGTGCACCCAGTATCAATTGATTGTGATATCAAATATTTAATGTGTGAACTCTCGGAACTAAGGGTTTTAGTATAGCATTTGCCGTCAAATTTTACACGTTGTATTTATTGATCGCTAATAAAACTAATAACTGTATTCTGATTAGACATAATTTTACGTTTAACATAATTAATCTTTCAAAACCTTGATCCAACAAAAACTCAAACAAAAATTCCTAAACTTAATCTTTTTTTCAGTTTTAATCACGCACATGATATCTTTACAGATTGACTAACATCTACTTCATTTTAACTGAAAAAATCTACATTCGACTCTCAAGGGTGGCTATCTTGAGAATCATCGTCACTCGAGGAACAATCGCATCTACTTTCATGATCGGTGTCTTCGAAATAATCACTGGTTGCGTAATCTTCATTTTGACTGTAAACCAAATTTCCTCCCGATGATTTCCTTATGCGAAAACAATCGCCATTCGTCAGTTTTGCATGATTATTGTGTGAGAAATAAATCGTTCGATCGGAATATTCTACAAATGAACGGTCAACGGGATTTTCTTCAACAATACTTTTTGTAGCCTCTGACAAACTTGAATTTTGAATTGAATCGATGCTGGTAGTATTCTGAAATACGCCGAGGTTTCGAATTAATCCAAAATAAATTCGACTAAAATGATGAAAAAATATTTGAATTACCTCAGATTTTATTGCGTTCGAACTTTGGTCAATTGTAACTTGATTGACTCGACGAGCTGGATCAGTAGATAAGCGCAGCGCACGGAAATTTAATACCAACTGGTAACGATTTTCTTTTGAATTCTGATGAGATACTTTTCGAATATTGTCAGACAAAAAGGAAACTCCATGTTTTTTACAGCTATATTTATATCTATTCTGTAAACTTTCTCTCAAAGGATTTTTATGCTTCGTACAACTATCAGAAGTTATCTAATAAAACAAAGAACATTTAATTTAAAATAATGTAATCAGAAAATATCAATAATTTGCATGTGACACACGTTTATAGTTGTTTTATCTACGAGTTCATCTACGATTTCTTCAGCTATTTTCACTTTTTTACACGGAAGTTCAGCGTCATCTTCGACTTTTCTTTTAAAGTTACAATTGCGACTCATGATAACGATTATGCTTCTTTGGTAAAGAATATAATGCTTTGCAATGTTCACCCTTAAGACCTAAACTATACTTTAATTCTTGAAGCGATCCTAGATGAGTGAAGAAACAGCTGACGACAAATCGAATCGAGACTTTATCAATCAAAATAACCGAATTTTCACATTCGCCAACTTTAAAAACGTTCTTTTTTCTAACTTTTTTAGTAGAAAATTTTTATGATGGTGGTACCACGTTCACCTAAGCTTTTTTTAATGGCTAGCTAATTATAAAAAAAAGTTTAAATTTCATTAAAAATTCAATTGTTTCAATTGAAAAATTATACAGTAAACAATTGACAGATCATAATTTTTAACTCAATTATTTAATTCATTCTGTATCATTTCCACTTGTGCTTTTATAGGAAAAGAAGTGATCGAGGAAGATTACAAGAAAAAAAATAAAATTGACATTTTTATTTAGAGTTTAATATATGACAATACCATTATTAAATTACAACAAAGACATGTATTGCCTTAGAATCACCAAGTACTTTTTATAAAAAATAATCTAACATTGATTCATTGTTTTTAACTAAATAATTAATATTTACAATGTTATCTGTAGTTTTGTGGAACATGCGTAAACTATAAACTATTACTTATATTACCAATTGACATATCTCTCTGACATTATTTTTTTTTAAACATTCTTACAGAGCCATTTTGCGTCCTTCAATAGATATCTCAACAGCTCTTCTGGAGGATCTCATTCTTCTGTTTTCAATGAAATTTTTCATATGTTTTTCAAAACGATTAGGCGGTGGTTTAACAGTTCTACTAATATCGGTATCTGATTTCCACTCTGGTCTGACAACATAGTCTTTGGATGAAGGCATAGGCACTCGAGCTCTTGAAACCCAACCAGGATCACCTGGCCTCAATGGCTTTGATTCTTCTTTCAGAGCTCTGTTTATGTCTTTTGATCTGAATGATGATGAATCATCCTTGGTCTTGCGCTTTTTAGTAGGGATTTGCTCCATATCTCTCTGCATCCTTTCTTCTTTGGTCATAGCTTTGAAATCAGTAGACAAATTGAAAATTGGTCTTGCCCATTCATTGATCAATTTTCCAGCTCTAGTTTTATTCTCTTTTGTTTCCTTAGGATGCTTATACAAATACATAACTGCCTTTCCAATTCCAGACTGTTTCAGTGAAGATTGGTCAATTCTTGGAAACTCATGCAGTAATTTCAAAATTGAGTCTCTTATTCTTAAAGATGTCAATGATTTATCCGGCATAGGTGCTAACCAATCTGTGAGTACTGACAAAACATTATGTTCTAAAAATGCCAATTGTAAATCTTGTTTTTTTAACTGCGACATGACTTTTGACAACATGGCAATTTTGTATGTGGCTGGCTTACCCAGCTCATTGAGCTTTCTGTCTTCCATATAAGCATTCCTCATATCAGCTAATAACTGTGCTATAATATCATCATTGTCATTGATGATATCAATGTCTTTACGCTTTCTACGCCTTTTCAATTCTTTCTTTTGCTGAAGCATACGATCAAAGTCGCTCATGTTATCATCGTATCCTGCAGATCTTTGTTGGATTTCATCTTCAGAGTCGCTACCTTGAGCAGCAGCTGCCTCATGTGGTTGCTTGTCAGAAGGACCAGCTTCATTATCTTCATCGGCCAGATCTTCAATTTTTCGCTTTTTCAATGACGCCGAGCTAGAGTTACTTGCTGATCGAGCACGAGATCCAGACCTTGATCGAGACCGACGTTTAGGTGATGAATCTTTAAGAGAAGACTTGGAGCTGGCGACTGAGGCAGACCGAGCACTGGACCTTGATCTGGACCTAGAACGAGATCTCGACGGCGAGAGAACTTTCCGTTTCGTGGAACGTCTTCCTGGGGACGATCTCGCACTTGATCGTGAACTTGATCTTGACCTCGAACGAGATCGAGATAAACGTTGAGCTTTTCGCTTCGATGGGCGTCCAACAATGGACGATTTTGAACTGGAGTGTGATCGAGACCTAGCGGATGATCTTGATCGTGATCTGGATTTTGATCTTGATCTAGATTTTGAACGTGATGCAGATCTAACAGATGACTTTGATCGGGATCTCGACTTTGAGCGAGAACGAGATGCCCGTCTAGATGGGCTTACTGACCTTGACTTTGAGCGAGAACCTGATCTGGCGGATGATCTTGAACGGGACCTCGACTTTGAGCGAGATCGAGATGATCGCTTCGATGGGCTCACCGACCTCGACTTTGAACGTGAAGCAGATCTAGCGGACGACCTTGATCGGGACCTCGACTTTGAGCGAGAACGAGATGATCGTTTTGATGGACTGACTGATCTAGACTTGGAGCGTGAAGCAGATCTAGCGGATGATTTTGAACGAGATCTCGATTTTGAGCGAGAACGAGACGCACGTCGAGATGGGCTCACTGACCTCGACTTTGACCGTGAAACAGATTTGGCAGATGACTTTGATCTTGATCTAGACTTTGAGCGAGAACGAGATGCACGTTTAGACGGACTTACTGATCTTGACTTCGAACGAGAACGAGAACGAGAACGAGAACGAGATGTACGTCCATCAGGACTTGCTGACCTTGATTTTGATCGTGAAGCAGATCTAACAGATGACTTTGATCTGGATCTTGACTTTGAGCGAGAGCGAGATGATCGTTTTGATGGACTGACTGATCTAGATTTTGACCGTGAACCAGATCTAGCAGATGATTTTGATCTTGATCTTGATTTTGAACGAGAGCGAGATGCACGTCCAGATGGGCTTACCGACTTCGACTTGGAGCGAGAACGAGATGATCGCTTCGAAGGGCTTACTGACCTCGACTTGGGGTGGTCAGATGCAGCATCCTCAGGAGTCGCTGAACGAGATCTAGCCGGTGTAGACATTTTGGAAGTTGGTGAATTCAAAGCGGACTTGTCTTCAGCTACTTTGTCCGCGGAACTTTCAATGAGACTTTTGTCCAGCACGTCACTTTGATCCTCATTTTTGTTTGTTGCTTCAATGTCCGACATGTTGAGGTTAGAGTTCTCAAATCACCGAGCAAAACAGCTGCAACAATGGAACTTCTACAACGAAAAACGATCGAGCGGCTTGGATGATCGATCAACAAAGTATTTAAAAAATGTTTACGTTCACTTGCACGACAAAACAGCAATAATTAACACAAGAGTGGTCACTCAATGACCATTGACTGTTACTGTGTGTGGCACATGTTATACGTGTATAGTATACATCAATGTTTGTTGCACATACACGCCGACTGCTTGACTGACGGACGCTGCGTGCACCACCTGACTCGAAGTCGCATGCGCAACTCCGAGAGCGCCTCCATTACCTTATCTGTGCCACTATTTCGAATTTAGCCGGTAACCGGCCTTATACACAATAAGTACAGTAACACAATCGCGTAATTGATAGAAAAAGTACATTATTGTTAAGTTGAGTTAGAAATATTAAGTTTCCTTTATAAAAAACTAACGCGGGAACGTTTACTCGCAGTGCAAAGAATTTGACCGAGTAAAAATAAATTTATTATACATTTTTACAGTAATAATATTATAATGACGATAATTTATCAAACTTTTTTAATTTCACAAGAGCTATAATATCATGATAATTAACAAACTAGTATCAATTTTCAAATGATAATTGTTTAATGATAACAGTTTTTATGAAAAAAAAATATTGTTTGTTGCTTCGATGTATCGATACTACCAAGTATCGAACCACGACAGTAGTATCGAATAATATTGCCGGCCGCCGGATGATGCGTTCGCTGTTCACTGACATTTGATCAGTGATCGCTGCTCATACCGTGGTACTCGACCTATAGATATTTCGTGGTTGTTGTGATTGTTGAACGTCAAAAGAAACATCGTTCAAGATGTACGACGATCAAGGTAATGATGTCCACTCCACGAGCAATGGCAAATGTTCTTGTAAAATATATCGACTGAAAACATAACCTTTTCATAGTCAATTTAAGAGCATAGATGCTTCTTTTACTTACAATGATTGATAAATGATTGATAAAAGTTTAATGCATTCCATGACATACTCATACATGTACAGTACAACCAATAAACTAATTATTGTTCTAAAACAAATTCCATCTGCATACTTCTTTTGTCTTCTAGAGTTATAATAGTAAAGAAATTTATAAATTAAAAAGACTTTTCTGCTTTTAAAACAATAAGTTATAGTACATTAAAAAAGTTATTACCAAAAACAAAAAACTATATAAATATATGTAATTTAGATCCCTACGAGGATGAGGAAGGGCAAGAAATATCTTCCAAGCTCTGGCAAGAAGCTTGTTGGATTGTCATCAATGCATATTTTGATGAAAAAGGTTTGGTGCGACAGCAGCTTGACAGCTTTGATGAATTTATTGAGATGTCTGTTCAGAGAATCGTTGAAGATTCACCTGTCATCGAAATTGTTGCCGAGGTCCAACATACAACTGGAGAAATTGAGAAACCAATGAAGCATCTTGTAAAATTTGAACAAATTTATTTATCCAAACCTACACATTGGGAAAAAGATGGTGCTCCGTCGCCCATGATGCCTAATGAAGCAAGATTGAGAAATTTGACTTATGCTGCACCACTTTATGTTGATATTACAAAAACTATAGAAAAACCTGATGAAGAATGCAGTAAGTATTAACAACACATAAAACCTATATTAAATCTCTGAATAACATCAATTACACTACTATTAAAATTGTATAGTCAATTTACATTTTTGAACTTTATATTCAAATTAATTATTCATAACTTAATTGATCTATAGAAACTTTATTTTAATTTTACAGCATCGCAACATCAGAAGACATTCATTGGGAAAATTCCAATTATGTTGAGATCTAAATATTGTTTATTGGCTGGTTTGGCCGATCGCGATTTAACTGAATTAAACGAGTGTCCTTTGGATGCTGGTGGCTATTTTATCATCAATGGATCTGAAAAAGTACTGATAGCTCAAGAGAAAATGGCTACTAACACCGTTTATGTTTTTAGTATGAAAGATGGTAAATATGCCTACAAGTGTGAAATAAGATCTTGTTTAGAGCATAGTTCGAGGCCAACTTCGACATTATGGATCAACATGATGTCTAAAAGTGGAGCAGTGAGTACCCTTTGTCTATGATTTTTTATTCAAATTGAAAATGAAATTAGAATTCTCTAAATAAATTGAATTAATGTTTACAGAATCTTAAAAAATCAGCTATAGGCCAACGAATTGTAGCAGTTTTGCCATACATCAGACAGGAAATTCCTATCATTATTGTATTTCGAGCACTTGGATTTGTAGCTGATCGTGATATACTTGAGCACATCATTTATGATTTCGATGATCCTGAAATGATGGAAATGGTAAAACCATCTTTTGATGAGGCATTTGTGATACAAGAACAAAACGTCGCTGTCAGCTTTATAGGTGCCCGTGGTTCAAGGCCAGGTATCACAAAAGAGAAACTCATAAAGTATGGCAAAGAAATATTGCAAAAAGAAATGTTACCTCATGTTGGTATAAGTGACTTTTGTGAAACAAAGAAAGCCTACTTTCTTGGATATATGTTTCATCGATTGCTTTCTGCTTCTCTTGGCCGTCGTGAGCTCGACGATCGAGATCATTATGGTAACAAACGTCTAGATTTGGCTGGTCCATTGCTAGCATTCTTATTCCGAGGTTTGTTCAAAAATCTCATGAAAGAAGTTAAAATGTATGGTCAAAAGTTCGTGGACAGAGGAAAAGATTTTAATTTAGAACTTGCCGTAAAGACCAAAATCATTACAGATGGTTTGAGATATTCCTTAGCTACTGGTAATTGGGGTGACCAGAAGAAAGCCCATTTAGCTAGAGCCGGAGTATCTCAGGTATTGAACAGGCTCACTTTTGCTTCAACACTCTCTCATTTGAGAAGAGTAAACTCTCCAATTGGCAGAGATGGTAAATTAGCCAAGCCTCGTCAATTACATAATACTCTGTGGGGAATGTTGTGTCCAGCTGAGACCCCTGAGGGAGCTGCTGTTGGTCTGGTAAAAAATTTAGCTCTTATGGCATACATCAGTGTTGGATCCCAAGCATCACCTATTCTTGAGTTTTTGGAAGAATGGTCCATGGAAAACTTGGAAGAAATTGCTCCAAGCGCAATTAATGAGTCTACGAAGATATTTGTCAATGGTTGCTGGGTAGGCATTCACAGAGATCCAGAGCAACTCATGAAAACTCTTAGAAAATTGAGAAGGCAGATGGACATCATTGTGTCAGAAGTATCAATGATCAGAGATATTCGTGATCGTGAGATCAGAATTTATACCGATGCTGGCAGAATCAGTAGACCTTTACTGATTGTTGAAAACCAACAACTTTTGCTGAAAAAATCTCACATTGACATGTTGAAAGAAAGAGATTATAACAACGATGGATGGCAAGAATTAGTTATGAGTGGAGTAGTGGAGTACATTGATACTCTAGAGGAAGAAACAGTAATGATTTCCATGTCACCAGATGATCTGAAACAAGGCAAGGAGTACGCTTACTGTACAACTTATACACATTGTGAAATTCATCCTGCCATGATTTTGGGTGTTTGTGCCTCAATCATTCCATTCCCTGATCACAATCAAAGTCCCAGAAACACCTATCAAAGTGCTATGGGTAAACAAGCTATGGGAGTTTACATTACCAACTTCCATGTTCGTATGGACACTCTAGCTCACGTCCTTTATTATCCTCACAAACCTCTTGTCACTACCAGATCGATGGAATACTTGAGATTCAGAGAATTGCCAGCAGGCATCAACAGTATTGTAGCTATCTTGTGTTACACTGGTTACAACCAAGAAGACAGTGTCATCCTCAATGCAAGTGCAGTCGAAAGAGGATTCTTCAGATCTGTATTTTACAGATCTTACAAAGATGCCGAAGCGAAAAAGTTCGGCGACAGCGAAGAACAGTTTGAGAAGCCAAACCGCCAGACCTGCCAAGGTATGCGTAATGCCTTGTACGACAAATTGGACGATGACGGAATCATTTCACCAGGTATTCGTGTATCCGGTGACGATGTTATCATTGGAAAAACCATGACTCTTCCAGAAAACGACGACGAGGTTTGTAAAAAAAATCCAATTTTCTACATCTCCGATAATTTTAGTTTTTATTTTTTAATAATTAATTGTTTAACTTTGCAGTTGAATAGCACAACAAAACAATTCACAAAGAGAGATGCCTCGACATTTTTACGTAACAGTGAAACTGGAATCGTCGATCAAGTTATGCTGACCTTGAACAGCGAAGGCTACAAATTCTGCAAAATTCGAGTTCGCAGTGTACGCATCCCTCAAATCGGCGACAAATTTGCATCTCGTCACGGTCAGAAAGGTACCTGCGGAATCCAGTACCGTCAAGAGGACATGCCCTTCTCGTGCGAGGGCATCACACCCGACATCATCATTAATCCTCACGCCATCCCATCGCGTATGACGATCGGTCACTTGATCGAGTGCATTCAGGGCAAAGTTTCGTCGAACAAGGGAGAAATCGGCGACGCTACGCCCTTCAACGACGCCGTCAATGTACAAAAGATCTCAAGTCTCCTCGTGGATTACGGCTATCAACTTCGAGGCAACGAAGTCATGTACAATGGCCACACCGGCCGCAAGATCAATGCCCAAGTTTTCTTGGGTCCGACCTACTATCAGCGTCTCAAACATATGGTGGACGACAAAATCCACAGCAGAGCCAGAGGACCGGTTCAGATTTTGGTCCGTCAACCCATGGAGGGTAGGGCCCGAGACGGAGGCCTGCGTTTCGGCGAGATGGAGCGCGATTGTCAAATCAGTCACGGAGCAGCTCAATTCCTGCGTGAACGTCTCTTTGAAGTGTCGGACCCTTACCGCATTCACGTTTGCAACTTTTGCGGTCTGATTGCCATAGCCAATCTGAAAAACAACACCTTCGAATGCAAAGGCTGCAAGAATAAAACACAGATATCCCAGGTTCGATTGCCCTATGCGGCCAAGCTTTTGTTCCAGGAGCTTATGTCCATGAATATCGCTCCACGTCTCATGGTGGTGTCATAAATATATTGTGTCTTGTAAATAATTTAGCAACTGTTAATTAAGATTTTGTAAATATATCTGTACTTGTACTTTTTTAGTTGTATATGTAATATGCATCGTGAGTCAATAAATAATTTTTTAACATGTAATTTTTGCTTTTTCATATTCTTATTTAAAAACTGGTTAAACAGATAGATTTGCGCAAATTTGGTAAATTTTTTCCAAGTAATTAATTGTATAAACTACTTATATCAAGAAGCAAAACTTTTTCGGAATATTTCCGTGCATAAATTTATTTATATCAATTTTGTAAATAAAAGAAAGGATTATACATAGAAAAAAAAATAAGAGTGTAAGAATTAAAAAAAAGAATGGACTTTAAAATAATCAAAGGTTAAGCATATTTATTGAGAATGTTAAAATTAGTGTTTTTTATATCAATTGCTTACCCCTAGAAAAGCATGCAGTTTAGATAGTTAACCTATAACATTTTTCTTAGTAAAATGTTTTTCAACATTTTTTTATTTTTAAAATTGTCATAAAATAAGTTCTTAATACCGGCTTTACTAGTCTCCTAAATTAAGCATAGAGGCGCTCCGGTATAATTACCAGCCATGCCGCCCGGCGCGTAGCGTTTGCTTGGTTAGTTTTTACGGTCGGACAACGGGACAAGTATTAACAGTGTCACCATGGCAGACCAGGTGCTTATAAATTTATAATTTTCTTATAATTATAATATATTGAATCATTATTAGTGATTTTTCTTCAACGATGAAGTCTTGCCAGTGTAAAATGAGTTCGTGTGGTTTATTTGTTGATGCCAATGTTTAAAAAAGTTCGCAACAAAATGTGGGTTGACTATCGTCCACACGTGTTCATTGCCCTGGCTTCCCTCATCACTTGATTTGCGTGTTGTATTTTAAAAATGCTTCTTCGCAGTATGAATCTTCAATGTATAGTTTTGATTCTGTTTTTAGTATTGCGCAAACTTTGAATGTATTTGTTTATTAACGTTAAATTTTATGAATCAATATTTTTAATTTTACACTTGGCTCATAACCTGTACGAACAACTGTTGCATTTCACCATCGCGAACTGCTCATATTTTTTTTTCTTCAAATAGCTAAAATAATGTGTAATTTTTACTCGTACGTTCGAAAACTAATATCATTGTCATTTTTAGGCGAATTTGAAAAGTTTTCAAAAACAACCGACTATTTTCCTTAACAAGAAAAAGTCGGCATCCAAGGGTCGCAAATCCCTCAGATATACCCGTGAGGTTGGTCTTGGATTCAAAACCCCAAGAGAAGTAAGCATTCATTTTATTGTTGAAATATATTTTTTTCTGTTTTGTTAATAATTATTAAATGATGATATTGACGACGGTCTTCTGAAAATAAACTGAAGATAACTTAATCGTCTACTGACATTTCAATTTTTCAATATCTTTTGTCCTATATGTATTGTTTACTTCAGTTACGGCATGTTTTAATTTTCAATATTTTGCATTACAGGCTATTGAGGGTACCTACATTGATAAAAAATGCCCTTTCACAGGTGATGTATCCATCAGAGGTAGAATCCTGACTGGAACCGTCATCAAGAATAAGATGCAGAGGACAATCGTTGTTCGTCGTGACTACTTGCATTATATTCGCAAGTACAACCGTTTTGAAAAGAGGCATAGGAATATGTCTGTTCATCTTTCCCCAGCATTCAGGTAAATTTTTATATGATCAAACTTGTAAATACATTTATAATTGTTAATGAATTATGCATGATGATATTGACGACGGTCTTCTGAGAACAAAATGAAGATATCTTAATCGTCTACTGATATAGTTAAAATTGTCAATACAGTTGACAATTTTTCATTTTTTGTAATAATCATTTTCTAATTGAGTATTTTTGCTATTTCAGAGATGTTGAGATTGGTGATGTTGTTACTATTGGAGAATGCAGACCACTCAGTAAAACTGTGCGCTTCAATGTGTTGAAAGTGTCCAAAGGCAACAGCACAAAGAAGAGCTTCAAAAAATTCTAAATAAAGTCCATGTTTTAAGCTAAATAATTTTCATTGTTTTTTGTTTTATTGGATTTTTCATATCTGATGACTAAATTCATTCATTTCTAAATATTGATGCTACTTTATGAACTAATTTTTCTGAAAGTCTTGATTGATATGGAGCGATCAAAAATTATATTCAAATGAGTCGATTTTTTAGAAAAATTATAGATAAAATGTAAAAAATATTTGCCTATTAGAAGTTAGTCAGATAATTTTATTTTTGAACGTTTTTCAAAATATATCTACAAAAAAACAATACTCAGAGTAAGCCATAAAAAAAAACAAATATTGATACTATTAGTTTTCTAAGAGTAATAAACTTCTTTTAATAGTCCTTTTTATACTTTAATAGTTCTTGACACAATGTGTCAACAAAGATTTTTTTGAAATTGAAAGTGTTATTAAATTCATTTGCTGTATTTTTTCTTCAATAAAATGTTCAAGTATTAAATCTCTTACTGGAATAGTTGTCATGACCTTTCAAAGAAAGATTTACTTGTTGTTTTACTAAAGCATAAGGAAATTGTTAATTTCATCAATAATACATATTAGCTAAGAATGTATTATTGGAATCATTTGTTTTATTTTCCTTTATTGTTGAATCTGGAAGCTGCGGTGCAGTTGAACTTTTTATAGAAGTACTGATTCAGTTCAAGAATTTTCAACCATTTTAGCACTATTATTAGAAGTCAATAGATTTAGTCATTTTCGTACAAGTGTAGCATTTTTAAAACGGTTTTCTCGTACTGCTAGCATCACATGCGTGATATACAAATGAGTGATAGTTGCCAGATCTGTTAACTTACCTCTGATATCCAATAAAGCCTAATTCAATTTCCACAGGATATCATTACTAGCAATCCATTGTTCAACAAATTATAATTCTTTAGGTATTACATTCTTTACGAATGTTTTTCAATTTTGTGTTGTTTGCAGCGATTCGTCACTTTTCAAAAATCTGATTTATATATTAAAGAATTTAAATAATTTTTACTTCGATATTTTTTGATACTGAAATAATCATTGAAAATTTAAAAGCCTTGAATTGAATAATTTCATGAAATCAATATTGAAACAAATACTCGATCAATGCAGGCCAATTTTTTTTTTTTGTTAAAAAGCTCGATTACGATAAAACTTCGATGCAATCGAAGCTCAAAACATCTGTACAAACTTCCAATAAAATGTCAAAGAATTCGCTCTTCATACCATTAACTTCACTTTTTTCGCACGTGACATAATATTCACGAAATCCAATTAAATCGATCGCTTAACACAGCCTCGAACTTAACGATGACTTACGCTTTATGTGCTTTTGAATCGAGAAAGAAAAAAAACTCACACGTTCGCGTGCCTCCGCCTCTATGCCTCTACTTATTGGCTGTCACGCATTGTTTACATGACGCAGTCCCACAGAGCTACTATATGCTGCGCGTGTTTGTGTCTATTACGCGCATATAATAGCTCATTATCGGGCGCGTCGCGCCGATTTTTGATGTGTGTCAAAAAAAAAAAAAAAAGGGACACACACGGACTCGAGCAGTCGCGCGCGTACGCAACGCATCATCGTCACACCAGCACCGCCCGCAGCGATCACGAAGACGGCGGCTGATTACAATTGTACGTATAATAGGAGCGATTGGCCAGTCGCTTAAATACATTTACGCACTTATCTCGGACAACGCCGTAAAAAGCTACGAACGCGCCTCTCCGTATCTTTTTCTTGTAATAAATGTGTACGTACATTTTATCTATCAGCGTGGCGTGCGTGAAATACTGTAAATAGTTCTGCGGATTCGTGTTCACGAAGCGACCGGATGATACCGTCGTGGTACCGATCTCTTTCTCTTTATTCGACCCCGTGTATCGTGTTTGTGGATACTCGTTTGATTGAGATTTCGTAATATTTCTGTTGGCCGATTTCTTGCCGATTTTTATGAAAATCGGCGTTCGTATTTTGTGACAATAACAAAAACACTGCTAATAACAAACAAATGCAGTGGATTTCGGCCCTGCGCCACGTGAACGATCGATTTCTGCATACATATGCATAAGTCAAAGATAACGCAATTAAATTTTAGAAATCTTAGATAAGACGCTCGAGAGTTCATAACAATGTTGTTTACCTTTTCTTTTTGTTCTTTTTAAATTAACAATCAATTCTTAACGCTTCAATAGCGCTGCAGGAATTAACTTTCGTAGAATCTAACAAACGATAGTGTATTGCCGATTTTTTTTTGTCCATTCATTGATTTTTAACGAGAAATAATACAGCCATAATCACGTAAATGTACCGTGAGACCAAAAATCACGCGTAACGAGAAATTCATGGTAACGATGCACGATTCATACATATTTCGCTTCGCGTATACACAATCTTTTCGTTCGAGTGTAATTAGCCTTAAGTGCACGATCGACACGCGCTTGGAGCATGATTTTTTTCTCGGACTCTCTTCTTCTCTCTCCGTTCATACCATTTTCACGTGTACATTTAATTACTACGGAATGATACCATGCTACAAGCCGATACACATGTAATACAGCCGCCCGACTCCGTATCAATCGCCCCAATGGCGCTTAGATTACTCGAGGCACATATATTTCGTGAAAACGACTATATACGAGAAACCGATTAAACACACACGGAATCTCAGGCGGATGCGCTCGAGCCTACTTAATTTCACGATACATTTGAATGAAAACGTTAATGATTTCATCCTCTTCGATTGAAACGAAGACAGACAGAGACCGGTGGCATCGAGTTCGGAGTGGAAAATTCTCCACGAACTACAATGGTTGAGCTATAATTTTTTTTTTTTATTCTTTTCTTTCCAGACGATTGTAATGCAAATGTGTCTCTCGCGCGGTATCGGCGCGCAGCTGAAAATTAATGTGTCTGCCTCATTTATTTACAAATACAAATATTGTGCAAACACGATTGATCGCTGTTTGAAGTCGAGCAAAAAAAAAAAAGTTATTATCTATGTACTCTCTTGTTGTGATTGCCGCGGTTACACATTTATTATACCCCACGCGTTCCCAACGAATTAGGGTGACGATTATTCGCGCGCGCGCGTTCGTGTTTACAATATATTACAAACGATCGTTAAAAATTCGTCGCACGGCTCGTTTGCATAGACCGATGATTAAACAGCGTGGCTCGTTTGTCGTGTGTACCGTTCTTTTTTCACGTCTTCGAGGAAATGAGCTGTTTGGTTTTTCACGACTTGGCCGTCGATCGTACGACGGATGACGCGCCCGATTTTGTGAAATTTCTTGAACGAATTTAGGATCTTTATCTGATTGTTTATTTATTCGGATAACAATTTTTGATGTTTCACTCGTGTTATTGTTATTGTAAAAATTTATTTATGTACTCTAACGAGCTCGCTCGTAAACGAGCGTTGTTTATTAAAATTTTGATTGATTTTTTATAATTACAACGCGACGATAAATGACTCTCGAACCGTGGGTAATTTTTTCATCTAAACAGGAAAAAAAAAAGTTAACGAACGAAGGAACGTTTTGACAATCCGACGCGTCGTGTACGCGCGCAATAATTATCCGAAACAACAAAAAGTATTAGACGAAAAAGAAGAACCAAAGCAGCTCGTGTATCGAACGACGTATAGCAATTTGAAACAAACAAAGGAGACGATTACGATCGAACACGAGACACACGGATGATGGTGTCTCCGGGTGATTTTCTACGCGTGTATATTCCACAGAGCTTGTCTCGCGTACCGATTTCGATCGGCAACGACGATCGTGCTCTCGGACTCGTCCGTGCGAGTTTCAACCTGGCTCGAACACGTATGATACACGTTATATTTTGTGTTGCATCGCGGCCTGCAACTCGATGCAAGTTTTCAAGCCTCGCCGATGAGTCATCGCACACACGCACACACACATGCACATCAGCACGCAGTCTATAGTCGGTTTTACAATGTAAAATAGTATAGCGCTGTTATGTATGCGGTTCTGCCTCGCGCGCACACACGAGTATATTATGAGTCAATCCTGACCTGCGTGAGAGCTGGTACGTGCAACGCTCCGACTTTTGCGCGCTCAGTTGTTGCCCCCCTGTCAGCTCGTGCAGTATTAATATATACACGCACATTCGTCTATAACCGTAGTGCATACCTCGACTAGTAGTACACCGCAGTTGTAATCGCGTGCAGTGCTGCGTCAAGATACGCAATATATCACCAGAGTTCGATCGTATAGAAAAAAAAAACAATGATACCCGACAAGATAAAAGTGCTGGGCAAGCTACATCGGCTGCACAATCACCATCATCGTCAGGATCGCGAGGATCGTCTGGCCTGCAGAAAAGCGGCCCACTGGAGCAAGAAGAGCCAGCGCGTGGCCCGTAAGATGTCGAAACTCGAGGAAAAGTTGCGCAGGTACAAAGACAACTGCAGCGCGCTCGTGGTCGATCTCGACGAGGACGGGAACGAGGTGGAGGCGTTGTCTTCTTCGAGCATCAACAACGACGACGCACCTCTCGAACGTGCCGATCGTCGTCATCATCGACATCATCATCATCATCGTCGTCGTGGCGACGGCCGAGATCATCGGCGCAACGATAGCGCCGCCAGCTGCTCAGCCGACAACGGTGACAGCAGTGACAGCAGCAGCAGCAGCAGCGATAGCGACAGCGACGACTCCAAGTCCGCTGGCAGCTCTCGATCGGTCTCGCCTCGTCAACGTCGCCGTCGTCATCAACATCCTCATCATCATCATCATCATCAACGCCATCAACGTCGCGGCAAGCCGAGCGATACCGCCAATCGCGACGCCCAGGACGACGACGGTATCTACGGCTGCGTCTACAGGATCCTGTCGCGCAGCGAGCCGAGCCTCCATGACGAATCCACTGACGCTGCCGCTGCTGCTGCGGTAGGAGAAAGTCAGTCGGCGGTAGTTGCGGAGTCGCCAGTGGTAGTCGTCGACCTTGAGGCGCACAGCTACTGTACGGCTCGCGACGACGACGACGGCGATTCAGTCGCTCCCGCGCAATTGTTGCAGGACTGCGAAACGATGAACGAGGACGAGGAGATCGAGGACGTCGACGATTTCGTCCTCGAGGACGGCTGGAAGAAGATCGTCCTCGAGGGCCTGCCGGCCGAGGAGAAGGCGGCCCTGACGAGCAAGTACTCCGTGGCCAAGAGGGCGCACATACTCCAAGCGCCGAGGCTCAATCCGGAGCTGCGACTCGTCGCCGGGCCACGAGCTCTCGAGCGCGACCAGCTCCTGGCCAGCCAGCAGAGCCAGCTCGGCTCGGGACTCAAGGCCCTGGCCCGGGGTCTCGCCAGTCTCAGGGGCTGCACCGAGATCGAGAAGAATCCGAGCGTCGTGGAGGCTCTGGGCCAGCTGGAGGACGCCTCGCGTCTACTGCTGGACGCTCATCGCGACGCCAGTCGAGCTCGACGGCTGGAGATGCGCGCGGATCTGCGCCACGAGGCGAGGGACGCCCTAGATGGAGCAGCGACGAACGACGAGGATGGATGGCTGTTCGGCGGCGAGGCGACGGCGGCCAGGCTCAAGGATCTGCGCTGCTTCAAGAAGTGCCAGAGACGCGAGGAGAGACGCGAGGCGAGAAGCGAGAAAGGACAGAAGCGAAAGCTCGCTCAGGGCCGCGCGGCCGAGTCCAAACGAACGACGACGTCCGGTGACAACAGCAGCAGCAGCAAGAAACAGCTCGATAATTTGGCCGAGCTGTCGATAAAAAATTCATGAACGACGCGAGATGTACCTCGTTTATATTATATTCATTTAGTATTACATTCGTCGTGCACTTGGTGGAGGAAGTACTTTTTTTTTACGAGCAGCGCATCGATTCGACGTACATATAGGTAAAGCTTATCCCTTTTTATAGATATGAAATTATGCGTGTGTGTGAAAAATTTTAATCGACAACGATTTTTCATTTCAGATTGTAATCGCGCACGTCTGGACTCGGATATATATGTGTACCTTATACAATGTCAATCTTGACTCGATCGATGCGTACATAGGATTACGAGAGATATTTATAATCAATTTGCAGTATATAAAATTATTAAAAAAAAAAAAATTGTAAACATCGTTCGCGCCTCTCGAATACTTTCGAGAAGCGAGAGAGATAAAGGTTTTTTCTCTTCTTGTTTGATAAATAAAAATTTATATGGTTTAACGCCAAAATTTAAACGAACGTGTAAACGATTGTTTTATTATTTTCCCTGAGCACAGCAAGAGAGGTGGTAGTGTAAAAGTGAAGATCAAGGTTTTTCGGTAACACAACTAATTTACCGGAAGATTACACAAGCCGATGAAAGATAAATTGATAATTTTATATTTATGAAAAAAAGAAGGTGTTGCCTTTTTCATATTCTCTTTAAAATCTCGTGTCTATGACGATTTTAATCAACTTTATCGCGCGATCGAAGTGAATTTACTCGGGTGTCATGTCAAAAGAAAAAAAAAAGAAAACCTTCGACGTTTCAGAGTTTAGCCATTTCCGAATGAAGCGAAGCTCTAATAATTACGTACGTGTGCAAGAGTATAATTTTTTTTTTGTTACCACGCGCCAATGCCTCGTATACCCGTGGCATATGCAATAGACGCGAAAAACATTATTTTTCCTCGACGAACTTTCCATTGCACGATTGCGCGAAGGATATGCCTTTTTCTTGGTATATTTTCTGATTGTGCAATTTTTCCGGTCGCCGAAAATGTTTCAAATTCCATGGCGCGATTGCCAAATTTTTCAAATCGATTCACGCACGCACGTTACGCGCGGCACGTATCACAAGTTTATTTTTGTAATTTCGTAAATCCATCCATTCTATGACATTGGCTTTAGTAACGTCAAATCGCATTTTTCATAAATAACTCGATCTCGAATAAATTCGAACATTTTTTCATAATTTTTAACATTTTTACTAAATCCCTACCTTATCAACCACCATTATTTCGGTCAATCTTTCCCGAGCTTAGAAAATTTTGTCATCGATATACATCATTCGTGTTTTCGGATATTCCTCCACTCGCTTATGGATCCATTTAATTCAATTATCATCCCTCTTGAAAAATCCAGACTAATCTAGAAAAGACTTTTTTTCTCAAAAATTCGTGTAACGATCCGATACTCCAAGAAATCCGAAGAAAAAAAAAGAGCTTCGAAACACACTCTTACGGCCTACACAAGATTACGCTCCAATAACATTTGTACGATAAAATCGTGTCTCGTAACTCACAATGGTATATTGTATATATATTTTTTGAAGAACGAGATCGTTGACATTGGCGCGGTGCGCGGAGCTGATCGCGAGGCCCCCGCAAACGAAAATCGCTGTCGAAATGCTCCGACTGTATATATACCCATACTCGAACGTATACATGAGTAACGTATCGCGGTATCACGCAGTCGGTGCGTGCGCCAGAACGATCATGCCTATTAAACGCGCGGACGATATGCACACTCACGAAACGATCGTGAACGCCCATTTTTTTTCGAGAGAGAGAGCGATCTATTAGTCACATCGATAAAAAAAAAATTGATTCGATATCGCTCGGAAGCTTTCCTTTTCTTGTAGATTTCAACGAGCGTGTGTATAGATGAGAACGCGATGAAAAGTACACTCTCTCTATTTTGCCAACTTTTATCGAGTGTGTATAAATTGGAGTAAATGGCAAACCGATTTTTTTTTTCGGCTAGCTCCTCCGGTTTTATTTAATCCTGTTGGTGCGTCTGTAACGCGATCGAAACGAACCGATCGGCACGCATCGTCGTACCGATTTTTGTTCTCACTCCTCTTCTATCTCTCTATTTTTGCTCATTGATTCACTTAGGCATGTGGGCACGTCGATTTTTTTTATCGAGGAGCGCGCGCAGGCCAAAACTTGGACAGTCACGGAAATTCAAGTCTACAGAATTATCGGGAATACACGAGTACTTTGCATCCATCGATTGAATTTTAAACACTATTGCTCAATTGACTTCGAGACCTGTAGATGCGTTTATTATACTCTTCCTGGCACCACCACGACTGCTCATTCATCCATCTCTTTTCCTCAAATCGCATGCCCGAATAATATCGATAACGAAGCAGCTGGATAAAAATATATGATTGAAAATAATTTCAAAGACTGAGAGATCAGAAATACAACGATAAACATCAAGTTCCAAAATTAAAGTACATACGTTTACGCAAAAAACAATCATTCTGCTTTTGTATGCAATTTATGCTAAACAATTATCGAAGTGAAATTTCAAGTCTGTTCTTCAGTGGTCGATTTTTGTTTCTGTAATTTTATTGAACTATTCTTGATTTTTTATGTTATTTTTATTAAATTATTGACTTGCAAGGATTTTTTTTATGAAACTGATTTTTCAAATACGCTATGGAGAAAGTTATTATAATAATAAAACAATGGGTCATAATAATTTATAATTTTCTTTAATTAAATAAAAGGTTTTTGAAATTTTTATAATTTCTTTACATTATTGTAGAATATTTCTTGGACTTAATTCTATATTACACAAATTAAGTGGTAAATATATGAACACATATAATACAAACAATATAGAATACTTCAAAAGAATTTTGAATGTATAATAATCTATTACATTCACATAAATTATCCTCAAACATAAAAAAATAATTGTTTAAAATATAATCAAGGGATGCTTGTCACGTTTCATGCGGAAAAAGATTCTTCTTGTCTGCTCGCTCACATAGACGAAATAGATCCTCGTCGTCCCTTTTTTTGTCATCTTTTTGGCAAACATTGTCCAGTAGACTCAATTTACAATCCCGTTTACAAAAGCGCATTTTGGACACCGCTTTATCAGCATTTATAAATAAAATAGGAACGATTTTTTTATGAGGAAGCTCTTTCCCAATGAATTGGCATATGTTTTATTTTAATTTGATTATGTGCTTAAAATAAAATTTATTCAATTGAATTTTTTTGTTTCTGCCTGGACACTTCAAAGCTAATCGTAAATGCCGAGGTCGCTGATGCAGCCGGCTCGACTTGCACTATTTCAATTCATAAACGGATTTAACATATTACATAAAAAGTAGTTTGAGTAAGCATTATTAACATCAGAAAAATTCTAATTTCTCCAAAATTTTCGGTACACGCTCCAGAAGCTGTTTTTGCATAATGGGGTCTAAACGCAAGAAAAATGAGACGCCGGACAAACTTGGCACGCTAAACTTTCCAACAACTTTTAAAATATCATCAGCTCTTTTAAATAGAGGATAAATCGGAGCTAAACATTGGTTCATGCCAAATACTGACGCATAATAATCGTAGACGTTCGCTTATCTTTGGATCGGGGGTCTTTTGTTATAATATCTTTTTAATACGTGCAGTCTAGCGCGTGATACCTGCACTCACACCCACCCACCCACACACAGACCGAAGACTGCACGCCTCTTGTGCGCGTGGGTTTTTCTTTCTTATTTTTTCTCCCTCGGATCGGCAAATTCAATGTCGAAAAGGTGCCGCGTGTAGTCTGTGCATTCGGTTCGCAGCGCTTAATTGACGATGCGCACAAAATCTCGATCAGCTCCTTATGATCGAATTACGATCGCCCGGATTCGATCGATCGAACGCGTAAATTTCGCTCGATTCGACGATTCGCGCTAACGATCGAACTTTTTTTCGAACGAAGAAAAAGTTGACGAAAACTTTTCGATGCGCAACAACGTAATCGAACAACGAACGTCATGTACACTCTAGCATGTAAGGCGCGTTTATCAATATGCGATTGTATCCTGGAGTGCCGCAAAAAAAGTGGAGTAAACGTAAAAATATCATATGTAATAGACGCACGATTCATCGCTTACATGACGATCGCGATAGTTTCAAGGAATGCGACATTAATTTTTTTTTTTCTTTTCTTTTCTCGTGACGTGACGCACGAACGACTCGGTGTAATGTATAATAGTATCGCAACCGATACCCACATTTTGACAAAATGCGCGCACGCCTACGTTGCTTTTTTATTGTTGCTTTCGTCAGAGATTTTGGTAAAGCCCATCGCTTTTTGATCAAGAGCAATTGCACGAATTTTTCCGATCGCATCTTATATCGTCATCCGTTAAAGCGACTGTATAATATAGCCGTAAACACGCAATATTGTAAATATCACAATTATCTGCGTGACATGTCGCACGCGTACGCAGAGCTCGTCCTTTGTGTACGCGCGTATACGTAATTTTAAAGCACGATGTAAACATGTAACGTGCATGTCGAACGCGAGGATCGCACGCGCACAAATTTTTATCGCTCGAAATAAAAATCGTGAAAATAGCTCGCGATTTGCATTTCAATGTGTTATTCGTTGTTGTTGCTGCTGAAGTACGACAGTAAGGAAGCTTGCGAATTTAGAAGAAAAAAGGCAGACAATAACAACGACAGCAGTAAAAAAAAATGAAGAAGGCATCGACGACTATGGCACACACAAGATAATAATATTTAACAGCGATACATCGGGAATCCCTCCGACGATATTGACAATTATGAAAAAAAAAATAATAATAATATAATAATTATCGTCGAAAGAAATTGTAATTGTCCGCTCATCCTCGAATAAGAAAATAAAAATATTAAAAAAGTGTCTTATGCAACATGCAGTTTACCTTTTATCAGAAAAAAATCGGCGCGAGATAACAATTTACCTTCTTCTTCTTTTTTTTGTCATTGCAAATGTTTACATTCTTACGAGCGGCGGGCGCATCCGCGTGCGAGCGAGTGAGAGAGAGGCACAAAAAAAAAAGCAGAAAGAGAGAGAGAGAGAAAATCTCTCGTGCGTCGCTATGCAAATGATCGCGAGCTCGCACGAGCGCGAAAAACGGGAGATTATATTATTTCAAGCGCCTCGAAATTCTCTCTGAGCCTTTTAACAATGATATATCATCATCAACGTGTGGTATGAAAACACGATACGGCTGATTATTACACGCGATGTGTGTGTGTTTGTGTCAAGCTGTTAAACCTCGAGTGCACGCGATTATCAATCGCGGCCAAAGGCATCTCACTCTTTCTCTCTCTCTCTGCGTTATTGAGCGGAAAATCGGCGGTTGTTACGCGCGTGTGAAAATTACTCCCTCACACAGTGCCCAATGACAAGTGCACGTGACATCGTCGTTATTATTGTTATTTTAATATTATCATTGTCGTTGTAATTATTATTTTTATCTACGCGCGAAGCGCCAATTCGCAAAGTTTAAAAGGTAAATAATACGAGCGACAATGACACCAATATATATGCGATGTTATAATAATATAAATACCCGACACATCGAACGCGGAGAGATTTTTACCTCACTCGTATATATACACACCAACATTATATTGTGTACACATTAAATACGCGGCATGCGTGCTGCTGCCGCTGCAGCTCGCAGAGATACAAAGCAAAACAGCAGCATACGTATATATAGCAGGGTAGGAGTGGAGAGGGAGGGAGGCAGGTCGCGCAAAGGGGGCTCGTTTTCTTCGTACACACATACTATACACACGCGCGCGCGGCGCGTGAAATACGTGGGATTCGCGCAACTGTGTTTACGTCGCGTCGTCGTCGCATCGCACTTACATGAATGTATATGAAGCGGCAAGAACTGGCTTGGGTGTTGTATGTCGGCTCGAATGCGTATTTTAAAAGCTGACTCGCAACTTTGTGTGTGTGTGTGTATATGGAAGATTCACGAGATTGGGAAAAAACCATGGATTTCTTTATTCACGAAAGCAAGTGTAAAGATGAAAATCCGACGTCGAGACTTACGTAGATCTGCGAGGAATGCCTATAATAAAGGGCTGAAATTTGAGGAATTTCTTCTTTCGCTGTGCCTTTTCGAAATATGCCATTTTATTTCTTAACCATTTAACACCAGTTGACGCGATCCATCCCATCTATACACGTAAAAATAAGGGCATTCCCGTATCGCTGCTGCTGCTGCTGCTCGCCTCGAAGTGTCACTTGTTTACTACAGAGAGATCGTGTGTGTATAGGTATACTAACAGCACATACCGTGCAGCAACTTTATCTGCGCGCCCCGAGCTTACTCGTATATGCTGTCGAAAGCAAAAGTAGATCTTCCCGCGTGCTGTGCTTAGCACGCAGCTTATATACATACATGTTGGAGCACATACAAGCGTGCCAAAAAGCAACGAGCAACGAAACATAAAATAAAAAGAAGGAATGACCGGGAAGAAGCTCTGAGTAGTGTTGAACTTTACGCGCGAGGGCGAAAAAACAATAATATACGGCATATACCGTACGAGAATGAACTTTCTATTGTATATATTCAATAAATAATATGCCGTGCACGATCGATCGACGCGGTTGTCGCGCGAGCGCGCGGATGAGTCATGAAACTTTAATTAGGATGTGGGCCACACGATGCGTGGATACTATATTAATCGTTTATAATGCGAGCTTAAAGGTCGCGATCGTCATTAGGTGCTTCCCGTAAACTATAAATAAAAAAAATAACATATAATGTATAGCATTCGTCGCATTACGTTGTGTTCTATCCAATATATTATACATTAAAATTCATATAGCAGTGGGCGCGAGCCGAGCTTTTAACGCGCTGCGGCACACGAGCTATTAAGTACTTCATATAACATCGAGTATATCTGTACATATACACTCGAAACCTGCTGTATAAAGTCGACGGGTGGTACTGTACATTGTTTGCGTGTCTCGTCTTACTTTTTTTTTATCTTTAAAATATAACATATAGATATATTATATTTACGAGCGTTTAGCACGCGGCGAGCGAGTGCAGCAACTCCCGTCGGCGCATGCACTCCACCACCACCGCCGCTACACCAATATACACTATTAAGTATATACGTACTATTACGGTATGACGTAGCAAACAGCTCTATAACGTACGAGTATACCTATATGTATATCTCTACTTGGCTCGGCAGCTCGCTCGCTCGCTCGCTTGCGGGGCACGCCGCGCTGACGTCACGATCACGACGCCGCGGAGGCCTCGGCACTGGCTGTTCACGTGAACAGCACGCTCGGCTCGGCCGGCTATCACGCAGCGAGCGGCTGATCGCGGCGTGCACACTCGAGCTGGCTGCCATTGGCTCGGCCGAGAGCCGAGCCCCTGCGCCGAGCCATTGGCGGGCGCGCGTAAGCACACACACTCGCTTACTCGAGTTTGTGTTACAGTATGTAGCTCGCGGCAAATACGATATATATAATCCGCACGCATGTACACACGGTGCATGCATGCTGCCTGCCTGCCACAGAGCGAGAGAGAACAGTCTCTCTACATCCAGAAAAGCCCCGACCACCAACGAGAGCAGTCACCACACCACGGAACATTTATTTTTTTTTTTTCGTTATATTCTCTCTCTGGTGCTCGTGCGTTGCGGTTGGTTGGCTATATACGCTAACGTTGTGTACTAGAATACTACTGCGTGTGTTGTGCAGAATCAGCAGTAGCAGCAGCCCCCAAGAGAGACGAGCGAGCGACCTGCAAGGCTCATTCCACTTGCGATCGTACGTCGGAGCGGATCTATTTTTCTATACTCTCGCTCTGTCTCGAGAGATAGAGAGATAGGAAGAGAGTCCACGACGATTTCGAAAAAAAGAAAAGCCATCGTTCAATTTTTTTTTTTTTGTAACGAAAAACGCGAGTGTGTTTGATCAACGGTTGGAAAAGCCAAAAAATTTTCGCACATCCAACGACAGTGTAAAACTCGGAAGAAGCAGAAAGAAAGCCCAGAAATCTACCAACAGTAGTATTGTAATAACAGTGTGCTCCGTATAGTGGCATAAGTACCAGCAGCGGAGATATACGCAAGAGAATCGCGCCGCACGCGTTCGCTGCGTGATCGGGCCGCGCGCGCTCTCACTCCGTATATATATCTAGTGCGTGCCGAGTATATACGGAATTTTCTACGTTTATTATACTACTATCCGCCACGGCGCGAGGTCGACGCAGCTAAAAGTGAAGTTTTTCTCTCTATCTCTCTCGATTTCACTCGCACGCATACACGATATCGAGATCGATAATATATATATATTGTTATTAATTTATAATAATAATATATAAAAAAAAAAGTTGGTGCTTCGTTCGTTTCGGAGTTTTGTGCGTCGGAAGAAAGCGTAAGACAGACAGAAAAAATGAATATGGAGCAGAACCAGGCACCGCTCTCGCCACCGGCTTCGCCTCCGCTCAAGACCTTCAACGTAAGTTTACAATATTAAAATATTAATACATTTTTTTTTTTTTTTTTTATAAATCGTGGAAAAGTTACGAAACAGGTGTATATATTTTTTTTTACGAATTTCTAAATGTCCCTAGTCGTATGGTGCGACGAGTTTTCGTCGATGTTTTAATCATATGCTCGCGTACGTATCGTACAATACGTGCAATTTGCGTTTGAAAATATATGCGTCATCCTGCGCATTGCGAGGAGGCGAGTATTTGGAATTTCGCGCCGAGCGACGATGCAGTTTCGCGCGCACCGCAGCGATATATACAGATATAGATATAGTACGCGTTATGTAGGACAGGCGTTCGATATAGATATAATGTGCAATATTGCTCTCTTTTTAAAGCACGCAAAGTCTACGATATTATTCTCCTCTCCAAAAGCTCAAAAATAAAAAAAAATCAATATATATTCCATCGTATCTTCAGAATCTTAATTCTCTAATCGTAATTTTCCAATTTTTCAGCACGAGCCTGCGTTGCAGCAACAATCCTCGGCCTCGTCGTCGTCGTCGTCGTCGTCGTCGTCGTCCGCGACGTTCAGCGTGGAGGCCCTGTTGAGCGACAAATTCGGCAAAGCCGCTCGCAGCCGTATCGCCAGCGGCCAGCAGCAGCAGCAGCAGACCGTCATGCTACTGCCGCCCACGCCTCAGCCGTCCGACTCCGAGGAGGACGAGCTTCCGCGCAAGCGTCGCTTCGTCGAGCAGCAGCAGCAGCAGCAGCAGCAGCAGCAATGCGAACTCGCCAAGGTACGTCACTGCAATTTTCCAGTGCACTTTTTGAAACGTCGAAGGATCGATAACGTCCTAGCCCTTTGCAACCGGTTAACAATTTTTCGTACATACGTTATTTATTTATACGCAGCTAGTAGTATTAGTAGCAGATTCTTTTTTTTTCCTCTTCGATTTATTAAATGCAATCGGCTAATCGTGAGTTGCAGTTTTAATATACAATATATCGTTGATGATACTATACGTAGTGGCGCGGCGCGAGTTCGTTACACTCGGGCGTATACGCACCACGCAATATAAAATATTATTAAAAAAAAAACAAAAAAAAATTATATCTGTAAAGTATAATGTATGGCGCGCGCGTCTGAATCGCAAGACGCAGCAACGCTAATATTCACGAACGATGCCCAGAAATGCGCAATAAGCGCGTAACTCTTTCTCTCTCTTTCTTCTTAAACTTCGTATTATATTGTTTCGTGCGCGGGCAGATAAATTATATTTTACTTGCACGCGCGAGACACGAAAATAACAAAGCGATTTTCCAAGTAGCTGCGAGTAAGAATAAGAGGAAGAAGAAGAAGAAGAAGTAAAAGACGTTTCTGCGCCTCGCATTATAACATTTGCATGAATAAATGGCGCGTGGCATTTTTGTATGTAAACAAACGCGGCGCGCGCGCGGACGTCTCCCCGACGAATGTACAAAAATATCCTTCGTCGTGCTATATATATTAGTATATACGAGTCTCGAGACGCATCGCGTTTATTCTCGAAAAATTTTTTTAATAATACCTGTGCGATCGTAAAAATCATTGATTTTGTCTTTGTTACAGCTCTTGCTGGATCACGGCTCGAGGAGCACACCTCCCCCTAGTCCGCAGCCCGAGCCAGTGGTAACCATTCCACAACAACAGCAACAATCAAAACCACAGCAGCAGCAGCAGCCTGAACGAAAATCGGTAATAATGCGAGCCGATTCGGCGGGCACGGTCAGCCGCGTCGATAATCTCGACGAGGTGACGCGGTACAGCTCGCTGCTCGGCAAGCGACGCCACTCCAGCATCTACTACGTGGCCAGCCAGGAGAACATCCTCAAGAGTCTCAAGTTCAAGATGAGCTTGCGCAAGGAGGACATCATCGTGAACAACAAGAATACCGATCGCGAGCTCGAGGCCGCGGCTTCGAGCGATTCCGAAGCATCCAGCAGACGGACGCCGTCGCCGGCGATCACCGTCACCCCTTCGCCATCTCCGTCACTTTTTCAACAACAACAAGAACAACAACGACAACCACAGCAACAGATACCCCGGGCGATAGTCTATCCGGTTCAAGCGAGTTCGCCGATCGCCACCACCACCAGCGTGTGCTGCGGCAGCAACAGCAGCAGTGCGCACGTACAGACGAAGCAGCTGCAGCCGTTGGCGCCCAAACCGGCCCCGATCATGCTGCAGCTCGCCGGTGTCCTGCCCAGGGCGCCTCAGCTGCTCTTCGTGTCGGCCAACGGCCAGCCGATACCCGCAGCCGCTCACAACAGCAACAGCAACAGCAGTATCGCCAGCAACGACAGCTGCAGCAGCAGCTTTACCATCGGTTCCTCGAGCTCCGCCGGGAGCTCCGGCAGCAGCAGCTCCAGCACCGGTAGCACGAGTACGGCGGTCGTCGACGGCTCGGCGCGCCGACGCGTCTACGAGTGCGAGCACCCGGGCTGCGGCAAGAACTACTTCAAGTCGTCGCACCTGAAGGCGCACAGGCGCACGCACACGGGCGAGCGGCCCTTCCCCTGCCCGTGGCCCGACTGCGACAGGCGCTTCTCGCGCAGCGACGAGCTGTCGCGCCACAAGCGCACCCACACCGGCGAGAAGAAGTTCGTCTGCGCGGTCTGCGACAGGCGCTTCATGCGCAGCGATCATCTGGCCAAGCACGTCAAGAGGCACGTGCGCGATCGTGCCGCGAGCAGCAGCAGCAGCAGCAGCGGATCGTCCTCGACGCAGGTGTCCGCGGCGGTGCCGTCGACGACGACGACGACCCAGACGCAGCAATTGCAGCTCAATCTGCTGCCCTATCTCGCGGCGTCCCAGCAGCAGCATTTCGGTGTATGAGCATCGTGAGCGCGCTACCGCCGGAGCGTCGAATAAATTCAATGAAGAATTGTATACGATGGCATCGCGTCGTAAACTATACGGACTCGATATGATAGTGCCGCGAACGCGACGAGAATCGGAGGTGTGTGTCGTACCATCCGTCGTCGCGTGTGCGCTGTTGTGAATGGTTCGATCGATAGCCAAACGCGAGCCCAAAAGCAAAATACGTGCCTAGTCGTATAACGTAAGGAATATCCCCAGGCGGAGATACGAAAAGGATTCCGCGCGCTAATTGCAAATGGAATTGTGCTTTGTCTTTTATCATAAATAATAGCAATGACGCGCATGGATGTGCGCGTGTGCCGCGTCGCTCTCTCGGGATTGCAACGTATATACGAGAGCAGATATCGTTGCTTGCGAATATCATTATTGAGACAGCAACGGCAAAAAAACAAACCAAGTACCTAAGTGTGTCTGTGATTTTTCGCGAGTAAAATGCAAATGCGTGCGCCATATTAACGTTTCGAGGATATGTAAAATGATATATGATAAAAATACCACGTTGCATTAAATAAGTTCACCACTGATGCAGACGACTAAATGAGTCAGAGGATGATTATCGAAAATATATTTGTTTGTTGAAAAGAAAAATTAATCATTCTTGCATATATAGGCTATTTATATACGTGTATATATAGGGTACGGGAGAAAATTAAGGGATGTCTGCGTGACTGGCGAGTTGTTGTTGTTTTATTTTATTTTTATTTTTCGTGCCTTTTTCCATCGTGCCATTATCGCGATAATTTAGCAATAATTAAGCCGGCATAAACGCGTGTGTAATTATTGTACAAAAGAGAAAAAATGATCCTAGTTTTATTTGACACGAAAGTTTATAACGTGTGTTGTACATATGTGCGGAGAGAGAGAGCGTACGAAAAAAAGAAAAAAAAATTAATCGTTTTGGCGGAAATTCCATAAAACGCGATAACTAACGACGTTCTCTCTCTCTCCCTGTCTCTACGATCGCAAAAATCGGTCTCGTTTTTCGTGACTCGAGCATTTCCCGTTTTTATTTATTTTTTTTTCATACGTAATGTATGTGTATATATTTATTTTGTAAGTACGCGCTGACAATTATGCTGGCAAATGTAAATAGATTTTGTATTCATATTGTAAATAACATAATGAAATAATTGAGATGTATGGCGAGTGAATAAAAGAAAAAAACCGAATTTGACAATGCAACTGAGTTCGCATTTTCATTCATTGTGTACATAAACGATATATTGAAGACATTAAAGACACTTTTTACAATTAACTCTCACACACGAGTTTGTAATCTTGAAGCTTTGATCCAGCTATCTTCCACATCCCATCCTTCGAAAGGTCGAGATATTTATAAAAATAGATCGATATCGATCACTTCTCACGCACCTTTGATAAGGTGAAAATTTTCCCAAGCAAAACAATAATCCGCGACGTACGAGTGAATCGATTCGTAATCGATTCAATAATGTCTCACTCTCTACCGAGCATTACTCCGTTATTGGCTTTGTCGTAATACCACCTATAAATGGAATTTCATTGCGGGGAGAGAAGGACAAAAAAAAAAAAAAAGAAAAAATAAGANGGACAAAAAAAAAAAAAGAAGAAAAAATAACACAGACGAAGGAAAAAAAAGAATTCGTATCAAAAGATCTCTCTGGCGAGCGCGTGGCACATGCAACAAGTCGGCGGTATTGAGTAAGCAATTTGTTTAAGGCTCAGAGCAGCAGCAGCAGCAGCAGCGAGCGCATTAACATTTTTAAATTGCATTACTCAGGTGAGATTTCATCGTGCAAACGTTATTTTAACGCAAATTTATTGTCATTTTACGATTACGTATTACGAAATCCGAGCGCGAAGTTGCGTGTGATGAAGTTTTTTTTATTATTATCATTGTTATTATTATTCTCTTTCGTCTTCTCGATAATGCACTCGTGTGTGTGTGAATTGCCATCCGAAGTGCATCAATTTTTAAAAAGATACCAATTTAATCAATGAACGTAGGCAACGGTAAGAGAGATGTTTTTTCGATCGAAATTCTCGAACAACAAAAAAAAAAGCGCAACGAAAAATTCGCGTCAGTTTTTTTCTACCTCCCCCCGTCAACGTTCCGAAACGTCGCGCAACAGGTATATAGACAACGCACGCGGTCTAGATGTCATCGACGAAAGTCGCGAAAAAAACGCATTCGACCAACAAAAAAGAAGTAAAAAAAAAAAAAACCAGATCGGCTAATTGTCGAGGCTCTCTCGATCGGCTGGTCGCGCTAATTTTTTCGGAAAAACACGTCGCGGATCGGCACGAAATCTCAATCGTTAGAAGCGCGAGGAAATTTCGCCGGACTAACGAATGTTTCCCATGAAATATATATAACGATTGACGACGATCGTCTGTGTGTGTGTGTATGCGTGCGCCCCGCGACGTGTTGGATGATGATGATTGCGTTGCTATATAACGTATAGTATATATACACTCGCGGCCGATTCTTCCGACACATCATTGCTCGAACACGTGAACAAGGCATGATGGAGCGAACGATGCGCGAACTCGTCCGAAAGTTCGCCTACATAGGAACGCTACGCGCGACTTTTCTGCCTCTGCCCCGGTGCATGATAAATAATGTGCGCGCATTCAATAAATGCCGTGTAATCTTTACCTCCTTTTTTTTTAAACTTTAGCTATTAAAAGAAACAAATAAACAAGTAAAGCCGCGTATCAACACAGTTCCGAGGTTTAATATTAGCCGCTGACACGGCGCGTTACATGGTAAGCCGATTCCAGTTCTTCCTCGTGCGCTGCAGTTCGTGTGTTTAAAAAATACAAATTACCAGCTAATATCGACGATAAACAATCGTAGAAATAATATTTAATCGGTTTTGTTTTTCTTTTTTCTTTCTTTTTTTTTTGTCGTAACCTCATCGGGTGCGTATACGGGAGCCGCAAACGCTGTGCGCAGTTTTTCTTTGTCACGTGTACAAGTTCAACAAAAAAAAAAATGTGGTTTTCGAGCTACACAATTCATAAATCTTTCTTTTCTTTTTTGGATCAATGAATCTTCGTCGTACGAATGTTAAAAGTTCGTCTTGTCTCTTTGCTCGCTGCTACCGTTTGTCGTACTTCCGCATACTTCGCAGCCAGGTGAGCGCCACGCGAAGAGGCAGGAGAAACGCGAGAGTACTTATGAACTTCACGCGAACGGCCTAAATTTATTCTCGATAGAAGATAGCGAAAATCGACGAGATACGTATACGCAGCGCAGCCTCCTGCGCGGTTCTAATCGGAGAAAGCTCGACGAGTCGAGTTCAAACACGAGCCTATACGTACCCGCCTCAGAAGAGATGATAAAAAAAAGAAGTCAAGCATGGAACGCCCAGAGTTCACGACGAACTAGATCGCCGAGAAAAAAAATGACGAAAATAATAAAATTAAAAGAGTAAGATCGTTGACTTGTCGTTGGATTGAATCGTACCCACGTGCGTGTGTGTGTGTGTCAAGTCGTGGCGCGATACACACGATCGAAGGCTCGATCTCACTGCGATCGATTGATTTAAAGCTGGCAATTGGCGTACCATTACGAGCCTCTAACGGCATCTCTCTCGCGTAAAAATTAACGATTTTATTACACACAACTGGTGGGTTGAAAACTTCGCGATGCCGATCAAGCCGCTGAAAATCGAGAGTAAGAGTGAATCGCATCGTGAACTACAGTCGTCCCGCCGCGAGGCTAACGAGAGTCAATTACGAACCATTATAATAACAGCGATCGGGGGGCGCGAGAGATCGCGTCGGCGTTAATGCGTACAATTACGGCGTGTATATACATCGTTTGTACATTCAACTCGTCGTTCCGTTTTTATTTTGTTTGTTTTTTTGTTTTTTTTTTTTTCAAGAGACTCGGCACTCGGCGCGTCGCGACAAACTTTTCCATCACGCGTAGGACACGCGAGTGAGCGATTCGCGTCTTTATATATTTATACGTATATATAATAAATACGCATTTGCTGAATTACATATAGCTATATATATAATGATATATACGTGACGATGATACAGCAGTAAGTTGAAGTGCAAACAATTGAGCAACGAGATACACCGGAGTACACATTATACGTATCGCAGGCGCGTCGTGCATCGGTATTCATATATAATATACGCATTAGTGTATGGGATGGGCCCGCGAGACAGTTTTACAATTATAATATATATATATAACATATATGTACGAATGGCATTACATTTATAATGTATAGATCGCTGAGGCGCGCGCGCCACTGTGATAAGACGCGAGTATACATAATGTAATATATATAGCTGCGCGAGCGACTCACAGCTGATTAGCGAGCTGCTGGCTGTCGCAAATCACAAACACAAACACACGCGCTCGCGAGTTAATGAGGCACAATCGCGTGGGGATCGTCGCGAGCGGGGCGTGCTCGATCACGTATATTACAAGCCGATCGTCGCGATCGTTTCTTACGCGTATGCGTAATTTACCCGCTGGTGCTGCTGGAGCTGGAGCTGCGCGCCGAGATGAGCTGTCTCGCGACGATCGTCCGGTTGATTTATTATTTTTGCATTGGGTTACGCGTCGCGACGGATCGAGAACAGTGCGGTGACTCGCGACGACGACGACGACGACGACCATGTGCTTGTTACAATTAAAAAATCGAACGGACGAGCCCATAGACGCGCGACACAATGTCTACAGTATGGTATACGATGTGTACTCCTTATGCTACGGCTGCGATCGATGATATCGTTTTATAATAAAATTGCGCTCATGTTTTTTTTGAATTTTCGAACATTGTCGAGATGATACGATTACTGAATTTAGCTGGCTACGGAATGGACTTCGATACTGAACTCGAACTAATCTATTTCGATTCCTCGCGGTATGAAAAGAAGGCAAAAGCTTGACGCACACAGCAGAATTGGGAATCAGATATACATTTGTGGAAAATTTGACAATTTTATAGAAATTCAAAAATTACTGAGATCGAAAACGACAAGCAGTACGTAGCTTGGGAGCCACTTTTTAAAATCAATGTACTCGGATACACCCCTCAATTGTTCGCGATAAATTTGCCTCCCTCCACGAGGAATCTTTGCGATGGGCCATATCTCCGTCTACACATACTATTATTCGTAATCAAGACCAAATTTGTGACTGAAAAGGTGTTAACGGCATTTCAAGAACGATTAAAATATCATAGAACTAGTTTTTAATCTTTTCGATCTTCTAGCTCGAAAAGGAAGGTCTTGAAAAAAAATATGCAAAGAACAAAAAAGTTTTAAAATTGTTCAAATAATATAAAGACAACTTTTTCGAATTTTTTCATTCGAAATTTCGACTCAAACAACATAAAGTATGGTTTTTGGCTCTAGAACTCGATATTTCATCCGAAATAAATCTGAAAAAATTTGGAGTCAGATCTTGAGTAAAGTCTGGCCACTATCGCAGGATGAAATTCAATCATTTCCGTTCTGTCTCGAAAATTAGCTGCTTCAGCTTATCCGACATGTTGCGAGCGTTTTTGCCGTTGACTTCGTGATCCTCGTGCACGCACAACAAGACGGTGTCACACGCAATGTTAATCAGTTGGAACATAATGAATGCCAACAGTCCGTTGAATATAAAAGGAATAAAATAAAATAGAAAGGACATTTTGTCCCACGATAGGGCCAACAGTACACCTCTGTGTACTAGAAAAGGAGAGGCGAAACAGACCGAGAGCCAGATGATAAGCGTCGAATTCTTGACGTTCTGTGGAAAGGAGCAAATCGTTGAAATATATCGCGGTACAGCCGCTATATATGGGTCAGGTTCAGAATTTTTTATTCAGACCCCCTCCCCTCCCCCCTCCTACCCCCGCTGTAAACGTATATTTTTTATTTATATTTATTCTGAAGTCCTGAAGTAATTAAAAAATCTAAAAAAATTCACAAAAATACTTTTCAACAATCCAAACAATCTTGAATTTTTTCCGATTTGTTGAGTGCTTCAGGTCTTCAGAAAAAATCATTGAAAATTACATTTGTTTTATTTTCGGTGAAATGGTTCGATATACCAGACCGGAACATTTTTTCCTTTATTCTGACACCAAAAAACGATTCCTTGAATTTTCTCAGAATTTTTCATTCATGCCGCCGAAGCCTAGAGCTGAAAACCCGCTTTTTTTACGAAAATAATTTTGCTACGGCGCTAAGGAGCCTCAAAAAAACTGGAAAAATTATTTTTTCCTTTTTTCGTCATCAAAATAAATAATCTAAAAATTTTCAGACTTTTTAATTAAAGGCCAGTCTAGAGCCAAAAAACGCTATTTTTAGCAAAAAAGGTTCCTGGAACCCATAGGTTGCAGTAACAAAATTTTAAAACATTCTTTGAAATCCTTTTCGAATTTTAATAAATCTTGACCCTGCCATTTTTTCGATTGAAGCCTCCTAGCTAATTCTAGAGCATAACAAAGATTAATGCGAAATTCTGAAGACATCTGAAAAAAATGTAAATATGATGAATGTCTTCAAAATTAGCTAGGAGGCTTCAATCGAAAAAATGGAAGGGTCAAGATTTATTAAAATTTGACAAGGAATTGAAAACAAATACTTTAAAATTTTTTACTGGAACCTTCGGGTTCTAAAAATCTGAAAAATTGAAGTTTGTTTGGATTGTTGGAAAGTACCTTCATGAATTTTTTTTAGATTTTTTAATTACTTCAGGGCTTTAGAATAAATATTAATAGAAAATAGACGTTTACAGCGGGGGTGTCGGTAGGGGGGGTATGAAATGTTGGTTTTGGGACCCTTTTATGATGTACTATAACATACCAAAATTTCAGAAAAATCCGCGAACCTCGTCCGCAGGTTTATGTAAAAAATTCTGAAACTGACCCATGCATAAGATTTAGGGGAAAGGGGGTGCACCGACCTCGGCTATCTCCTCGCTTCGCTCGTAATTTCTGTGCCAGAGATTGTGGGCCATTCTGGCGGACTCAAGGAGGGGCCGTCCGTGAAGCGCCATCTGCTCGAACGCCAAGTAGTCGCCCAGCGCTGCGACCCGTCCGCCACTGCAGAATCGGATGAGGTAGCAGACCGGTAGGACAACCCCGCCGATCGCCGCCGATCCCAGGTGATATCTGCGAATAGGCGTTAATTTCAATTTTGCATAGATGGATACTCGGCGCGATCGATTCGAATTGCTGCTTGCCTCAAAGCGATCCAGATGAAGCGCCCGACCGTGAAGTAGGGCACTTGGCGCTTGTCCGTCGTCCAGTACCAGGTGGCGTATGCCCCGGCCACGGTCACGTTGAAGGAAGCGACCAAGGTGCAACAGAGCCAAATTACATAAATCGGCGCCACCCACAACCAGGTTAAGGCGAACCATGACGTAAACACAGTGGTAGACAGGACAGCAGCGTAGGCTCCGATGAATACGCAGCAGCAAAGCGCGAAGATCAGTATCGCGTAGAGGTAGAGCGACGGGAAGAACAGCGCGACTCTAGCGCGGAAAAGTGTACGAGGACGAATATAATACTACAATGTGGAAATTGGCAAATGATTCTCGTTTACTTTGCGAATTCCGGTATGATTTGGCTGGCCAGCTTGTATCTGTCGATCGCATACGAGGTCAATGCCGATGCCGGTGCAGGAAGAAATGAGCAGAGCCCGACCAAGGGCAGCCAGTGATCCCACTTCCAATATCCTTGAACGGCCAACTTGTAGGCGTACAAGCCGATACCGAACGCGAGCGACACGAAAAGCAATCCGATCGACGCGTAAATCACCTTCATGGGCGCGATCCTCATCAGGCAGATGTAGAGCGTCGACAAGAGAGCGGAGAACACCAGCATGCCCAGAACGATCAATCTGCAAATTTTCATATATGCACGAAGATTTATGCGATAACGGCGTATGAAATTATTGCGTCACTCAACTGTCCGAGAAAGAATATGTCTTGGAATTCGATTTCGAGCACCTTCACCGAGAGAGCTGCGCGGAAAATTTTCGTAAGGACATACTTTTCAAGGCAATGGTAGGGCAGCTTGTTTTTTTTTTTTTTTTTTTTCTTACTGGACAGGGGCACAACGATCCAGCATATGAAACATAGCATAAAGATAATCAGCGAAATTACGTTGGTCGTTGACCGCTTAACGTTCAGAGGACCCGTCCACGATGGATCGGGGCTCAGCTTCGGGCCTGAAATTGTGAAATAAACGATGTTTGACCGGTCGATTTTGGACGTTTTTAGTATCAAAAATCTCACCGAAATCTTGATTATGGTTCGCTATTGATGAAGACATTTTTTGGCCGAACATTTGTCGATGCGCGGAAATGAATGAATAACTGTCTTATGCCGGGTCGAATTTTCACAGCAACTCCGGGTAATAATCGTCGATTCAATAATCATTTTAACTCTTAACCTGTGTCGAGTTTTGATCCTTGCATGGCTCGCACGGCGTACTTTTTGAAAAACAAATGAGAATAATGTACAGGGACTCTGGATTTTCGCTGTGCAATTCGTGAAAAAAATTACGAAATAAAAAGAGAAACTTTCGCTGATAATCACGGATCTTGTCAGTATCAGGAAATCGTCGCTATGTTTGAATTTTTTTATTTGAATAAAGTTTTTAAACTCGTTCAAATATTGTAAGAACAATATATTATAATAAACGGATAATTCGGTAAGTTAATTGTAAACAATATGTTAATAATTACAATATACTTTTTGTACAATTAAAGTTAAAGCAATCTCATCAATATTAAAGTATTTTCTTTTAATTGAAATTTTTGAGCTAAGCTATAGAATTTAACCGTTCTTTTATTTATACTGTATTAAAAACAACAAGTATTACAAGTATTTTACTGCATTTTGATTAGTTCATGTTAAAAAATGAATCAATCTGTTTGCTGGTTCCAACTCGTTTTCCCTGAATCATTTGATCGTAAAAACGATTCTCTTTCAATTAATATGGAATAACTTTTGTTGTGGCTTAAAGATTATAAAAACCATATCAAATCGATATCATTCGATAGAAAATCGACTAGTAAATAGAAGAGGATGAAGATGTCAAGTCGACTCTTTGCAAGAGGTATAGGTGGTTGTACGTAGCGAATCTCTACTCGAAAACTACGCATAAGTATTATCTCTTCGTTGTTTATAATTATCTGCATGATTAATCAAAACTTGGCCGATTTAAGACAAAACTATATCATGTACGTGCATTTTCGCAATAAGACACGAGCTTGCAAGTTCGAGCACGAGCAGTTTCAACAACTATACGTCCACACTCTATCGCAACATACAAGACAACTGCGATCGAACTTTGTCACGAGAACGCAGAAATTTCTTTCTCTATAACCGTAATACCACTGCGCGTACGGGAATTCGGGTATTTATAATCGCATTTTCATGGCTCTCATCGACTCGGCAATCGCGAAACGTTTTATTATGCGTCGCGCGCGCTCGAGCATCAAGTATTATATACAGTACTTAAAGTTCGCAGCTTTGCAGCTCTCTCCCGACGACCTCGCTGTCCCTATGTATATATGTATGCGTGTATACATGTGTTGCTGCAGCATCGGCATCAGCGTCACAGAGCAGTAGCGCAGCGCAGCAGCAGCAGCAGCAGCAGCAGCAGCAGCAACGCCACGTAATAATATCATTACGTACGCCAGATTGCGCACGTATTTACTTTTACGCCATTCGTAGCAAAGTTTACAAAGCTGATTATGCGCACGGGGCCTGTGCCTCGCTCGCTATAGAGCTCGCGTCTCGAATTTCGAAAACCTACTCTCTCGCTCTATTATGTACAAGCTCTCGCTCCGAATATAACGTAAGTTGGGATACGCGTATACGGTGTGCAGTATATACGCAATCATCGGGACTCCGCTATACGGATATACGGGAAAACTGCGCGTGACACTTTCTATGTCATTATCACGCCAATGTAACGCGCGCTGCCAGTCTCTCCTGCGCCAACGAACTTTCAATTTGCTTTTTTCATTTACCTTTTATTCCTTATTTTTTTATGTTTTTTTTTCTCTCTCTCTCTCTCTCTCTCTCTCTCTCTCCTACCGCGTGTCGAGAGCTCCGCTGGTATATAACCAAAAAGGCGAGTAAAAGCGTTTATTTATATTTTATATATACGTACGTACAGCTACGTCTGCGCTGTGTGTATATGTATATCGTACGTTTTGCACGGATCAAAGGTTCGTTTTTTGCGCCGAAAGCTCGAGCTTTATAACGCACAACCGGTACGCAGAGCTATATGTATAATACACACATATAGGGTTGTAGCCTGCAATTAAGTATCCTCGACAAGGCCGCCCGCGCGCGCGCGCTCGTTGTACATAACAGCGCAGCGAAAATGTGTGTATATATAGCACATATATATACTGTCATCGCGCCATTGCTTTTGACGAAGCAAGAAAGAGAAAGAGAGAGAGAAAAAAAATAGGAAATAAAAACAAACTTCAACAAATTTGTCTCGCTCTCTTTTCTGCTGATGGCAGTTGCAGCCTCAGCCTCTCTCGCTCTCGTGTGTCCGTTATATAATTATTTCGTCGGCAATTACATCTCTTTTCTCGTTTATCAAAGTTGACCAACGTCGTAGTCCTCGTCGTCGTCGTCGTCGTATACACATGCTACGTACAGTGTACACAATAATTGCGCTTGTCCCGTGCACAACCTCATTCACGGAATAAATATTTGCACAAGCGTCGCGTAGCCGCGGCCTCCACCACTGCTGCTGCTGCTGCTGAGTTTCTTCTCTGCCCATAAAGCCAGAGTACGAAGAGAGAGAGAGATAGAGAAAGAGAAAAAGCGAGCTTGAATTCTGTGCACGGTATACAGCAGCAGCAGCAGCAGCAGCTACACACGCGAGGGAAACAATATTCGAGCGTCTCGCACCTAGCCGAAACAAAAAACGCGCCTACACGTAGCGCGAAGGGAATTGGCGCGATGGTGCGTGTTATACTGGGATATATCGCAGGATTTACTCGCGCATGTACGTACGCGCGGACTCGCACAAAGAGAGAATGTACGAGTATATGCGTATATATACAGCGCGAGGATGCAAACACGAGGCGAATCGTCTAAACATAAAGCGCCGCGCGCGCCCGGCGTTACACTGGCCTCTGGAGCTTTTCACGCGCGCGGCCAGGACTTTGGAGAAAACACCGCGTGGCGCACGTAGTATGCTCGAGCGTGCGATATCTTTTGCCCGCCGTTGGCGAGCGCGTATTAGCGAAAATAGCGAGCTTTATGATGTTACAGTCGCTGACCGCTGGAGGTATATATACCAACGAACTGCTCGAGAGTTTGCGTTATATTTGAAGTTAATTTATTTATTTCGGTAATCATTTATTCAAAGTTGAGTTTTTTTTATATGGATTAAAGATTGTTGGAAATAGGTAGATTAAATTATCCTATGACGCCTGCGGTTCAAAAATTCATTTTCGTAAGAGGCTATTTTTTTTTTGCCTTTTTTCGATGTTTTTTACACGTTTTTCAATACCATCGGATTTTTCCTGTCCGTAAAACTTTTGAAATTCAATCACAAAAAAGTTTATAGTTTTTGATGGACGCCAAGGTATCTCTGTTAATTTTTTGACGATGAATATCCGGATAAAATTCGATTGGATTTTGATTTTACAGGATGTTCTTCGTGTGTATGGTAAAAAAAAAATCTGTCATGGCCCGACGCTACTTGTCAATTAGCAAATTTCGATACTCGACTCCCGAAAATATCACATCATTACTCTCTCCGCTATATACTACGATGATATGTCGCATATGGCGAATCCAGCGTTTCTATTTATATTTATTTATTTTATCTTTGTTGTGCGCAAAATCGAGCTCTCGTATATTAGAGTCGATCAAAGCCAATATCTGCTTTTCATTTGCGCAGAACAAATATTGTACACTCGGATTTATATTATATGAAATCTCTGACCGATACACGAGGCTGCGAGCTGCTGCTGCTGCTGCTGCTGCTACTGGGCACACACACGCGGGTAAATAACATCGCGTCCAAACTCCGAATGTTGCGCGACGGAACTTTGACACACACCATTGCCACTATACGTTGTATACGGTACCTCAGAGATCATACATACACACACACGTACAGACAGAGAGCAAAGTATCTTATATCCTTCTGTACGAGCGAATGAGCTGGCACAAAAAAGGGCAAAAAAGAAGGTCCAAGAGAGTCTCTTTCTCTCAACTTGACTTATACCGAACTATATATGTATTATAACGAACTCCACTCGAGTCTCGTTTTGTTGAATGTTTGCGAACGAACGTCTCTCTCTCTCTCTTTTTCTCTTTCTATATACTCACTGGCATGCGCAAGAGAGCGTGTAATATCTATATCTCTACCCGACTCCTCTCGCCGTCTCTCGCTGAACTTTTTCGAATCAACGTCGCGGCGCGCTTATTACTATAAATACAGCATACATATACGCGGAAGGGCAAACCCGACTCTCGATATTACGCGCAGCGGCAGTTTGGAGACTTTTCGCAAGCCATACACGTACGCGAGACCGGCGAGAAGCTCCTGTACGCGTAGTACGGAGCAGCGACAGTGGTACAAGTAGTGGTAGTACGTATAGCTATGCTTATATGCAAGTTATATTATACGTCGTGCACTCGGTAATTGGATGAAATTTCCTCGTTCGCGCACTCCGCGTGCGTTTCTCCCTACATACACATGCACATACACGCGTACACCGATACATCGGAGTTTGCAATAAGAGCCGCGGGCTTTGGTACAAGTATTATATACAGATGCATGTGTGTGTGTGCGTGGGCTCGAAGCATCGAGCTATATAACGTACAGCGTAACTGGGAGAGCTCTCTATACGCATGCAGCTTCGGGAAAATGAGGAGGACAAGGAAGACGCATCAAACCGGGTCCATTATCATTTCTGCGCGTTATATGTTCTCCGTCTCTCTCGGCGTATGCGTCGTGTCGCTCCCTGTACGCGCGATATTATATATAGCGTGCGAGAGTCGGATGGATGGTCGTGGTGCGAAATTATCGCCAGCTGATGCATTACTGCTGCTGCTGCTGCAAGAGATGCACTGCACAATGGGACGCAAGGACTATAACCCGCAGTACGCGCTGTATATATGCTATGCGAGCAAAATACCTCGACGTGCAAACTATATACCGGAACAGTGTCGTCGCTGTGCTACCTCGCCACACCTCGATGACATGCTTCGTCAACCACCTGAATCCAGATATATATGAGACTGACTCGTTTTTTTCTCTGGTCTCATACTTCGAAAAGTGAT